CCCGCGGTCGGAGTGGAGACAGCTGACACGACGACCACGAGTGTCCTGGGTGGTAAGCAACCACCTGATCAGCGTAGAAGTCACCTCAGACTTCCTCGCCAGGGGGAACACTGTGGTGTAGCGGGAGTAGTCGTCAACGACCACCAAAAAGAAACGCTCACGCTCAGGGCCAGGGCGAGGAGAGGGGCCCCAGACGTCCAAGTGCAGTGTCTCAAAAGGCTCGGTGGCCGGACGAAGGGAGGAGGAGTGAGGGGTGGCGCGCAGCCTACCCTCGACGCAAGGACCGCACGGTGGTGCAAGGGACGGCGGCAGCGACGGCAAGACACGCGGGAGACCTAAGACAAGACGCTGACGAGACATAGCGCGAAGACGAGGAGGAGAAGGGTGCCCCAGCCGGTGGTGCCACAAAACGGTGGGGTGGGCAAGCGACCGACAGGAGCACGACGCAGCGACCGGACTAGACGGAGGAACCTGACAAGACACAGCTACCTGGGGGGACGGAGCAACCTGGTGAGACGCGAGGACTCGAACGGGGGGCAAAACAGGGGCCGGGGGCAGGAGGGGCGGCTGTGGCTGCGGCTGCGGCTGCTGCTGCTGCTGCTGCTGCGGCTGCTGCTGCTGCTGCAGTCGCTGCTGAGCGCGCGGGCCAGTGTGAAGAGTGTAGAGACCGGAGCCCGGCTCAGCAGCAAAAGTGGCGAGGGGCTGGTAAGAGTCCCCGTCAACACACACCGCAGTCTCTCCAGAAGGCTCAAACCACACACCCACGTGCTGACTCACGAGGGGTCGCACGCCCACCAAGTTCCGGGAGAACGAGGGGACGTGAAACCCAGTGAGAGACCCAGAAGGAGCAGCCGGACACGGCAAGGTGGTAGTGTGACGCGCAGTGACTGGTCCCGAAGTGGGATCAGCCAGCGCCACAGAAACAGGCGCAGGAAGAGGCGTAAGTGTCGTGCTGTCACGAAAGAAGCAGTGAGAGGCTCCAGAGTCCAGCGTGAACGACAGCGAACCGTCCTCTGAGGTAGCCGCTGGACTAGAGTCTACACAAGAACCTACACTAGCAACAGGCAACTGAGCAAGGCTAGCACCTAAGCTAACAACACCAGAGTAAACAGAGTCAGAAACACTAGAGTCAACAACAGCATACATAGCATGGGGAGTACCAATCAGATCAACTAACTGCTCAGCAGACATGCCCCACAGAGCGGAGCCGTAGCGCTGAACAAGAGGCAGCCAGTCAGGGGCAGGAGCACCAACCCCGTAGACCAAACGAACCGTGTCAGTGAGCTGAGCAAAGCACTGACCAGGGGGGTGAAACCGGCCACAAGGGTGGCCACGACGAGTGCCTGTCAGAACCTGGTAGGTGCAGGGAGTGTAAGCAGCACCGCGCTGGGTCTGACGCAGCCCCGACCCTGGAGCCAGCTGCTGCCGCTGCTGCTGCTGCTGAGGCTGCTGGGAGGAGAGGGGCTGCTGGTGCTGCAGAAGCTGCTGCTGACGCTGAGCCTGGTACCACGCCGCTGCTCCACCAACCGGGGCAGGAAGTACAGGAGGCGACTGACGAACTCGGGCGTCGCCACCACCAGCAGGCGCAGTGGAGTCACCAGTCACTGCACGAGGCGCCTCTCCAGGCCCTGAACCTCCACCGCCGCCAGGCGCAACGCCACCTCCACTACCTCCGCCTCCACCTCCACTACCACCACCAGAACCGCCTTTCTTGCCACTCCTACCGCGGGACCGCGACGCAGTCGTAACAGCAGCTGCAGTCGCGTCAGTAGCGGCAGTGGCAAGTGAGGCAGTAAAGGTGGGTAACTGCGGGACTGTGCACCCGTGGAAGAGTGGGGGGGGCACAGCACCAGAGGCAGCGGCTACCGAGCGAAGGTTGCTCTCGACGTCCTTGAGTGCAGACTCAAGGACCTCGACGGTGAGCTCACTAGGGTGCTTCAGCAGAAGCGCGTCGCGAACGGAGGCAAGGCGGTCAGGGAGGCTAGTGGCGATGAAATAGATAGTAATCGCCATAGGGGGAGGAAGCAGTGCAAGCTGTGCCTCAGTGCAAGCAGCGCGGTAACTAGCGTCGAGCGAGCGGAGGTGAGCGATCAAGTCAGCAGAGCGCTCAAAAGACGCTAGGTCAGGAAACAGGAACGGGAGGAACAGGCGGCCAAGAGAGACAGCAGCGGGAGTAGAGTAGCGGGCCTTAATCGCAGTGAGGTACTCAGCAGCGGTGCGAACCTGAGTGAAGTGAACCTCCTCAGACTCAGGGAGGAGGCTGCTGAGCGCGATGCAGGCCGCAGCGTCACGTGACGTCCAAGCCGTCTGGTCAGCTCGCTGAGTGGCAAAGCGGGCTCTAGCGGCGTCGTCAGGGGCAGGTCCTAAAGGCGTAGGGTCGGGGGGCGCAGGTAGGGCACCAGTAGCGTGCGCCCAGAGGGTCTCGCCTGCCTGGACCTGACTCTCTAACAGACGGCGAGCACGAAGAAGCCAGACGGAAAAATCAAGAGGTCTACCGTCAGCGTCGAAACGAAGGACACGCTGAGTCGCCATAGTGAAAACGAACGCGAACGGAGAGGGAGGGGACAGCAGTAGGTGAGAGGCAAATTAGGGTTCGGCGGTACTCTGGGACAGGGGAGGAGCGGACGCCACAGCGGGCGTGACAGCGGGAGGTAACAGGGGACTAAGCAGCGGGGAACGGGAACGGGCGCAGCGGCGGGCGATGGCAGCGCGCTCGGCAGCAGGGGCCAGCAGCGCGCGCAGCGGGCGACGGCAGGGGGCGCAGCGGCGACGCGCGCAGCGGCGGGCGACGACGGCGGGGCCGCGGCGAGGCGCGCAGGGGGCGGGCGACGGCGGCAGGCGCGGCGGCGACGAGCGCGGTCGCGAGCGACAGTGGCGGGCGCTGCGGGACGGGCGACGCGACGGGGGGAGAGGGCGGGAGCGACGGGACAGGGGGAGGGCGACGCGACGGGGGGAAAGGGGCGGGTGCGACGGGACAGGGGGAGGGCGACGCGACGGGGGGAAAGGGGGGGCGCGACGGGACGGGGGGAAGGCGACACGACGGGGGGAAGGCGCGGACGCGACGCGACGGGGGGAGCGCGACGCGACAGGGGGAAAGGGACGGGCGCGTCTCGAGGGGGGGGAAGGCGACGCGACGAAGGGGGCGGTAACAGCTGGAACGATACGAACGAGAGCGTGGCTCGGCGCTAGGCTCGGTAACAACGAGAAGGAGACGAACGAGAGCTAGGATCAGGCTCGGGTGGTACGAACGGAGAACGGCGGAACGGGATCCCACAGGATCCTAACCTAACTGATACCATGTCAAAATGAAGAATGGATGATGCATTGATGTTGGTTGGGGTACATATAGCTAACCCTAAGTTTTGTACCCCCTAAGACAAACCTCACTATAGGCTACAACATTTGACGGCCTTACTCAGCGTCTGCCCCTGACGGCCTTCTGTTACCCACAGAAGTCAAGAGATTAAAGACGTAGATGTTCCATGCCATGGCAGGAAGGACCTTGGGTGTTGTCAGCTTGCGTAGGACCCTTTTTGGGCCCTCTCGGGGTAGCCCTTCCCCCGTTAGTTCCAGACTCAAAGACGTCTTTAGGGTTGCGGTATCAGCAGTTAGCTTGCTCAGGACCGTGCATTTCCTCCGTTAGTCCCGACTCGCAAGATGAATCAGTGGTTATCATAGATTGTCCGCTGAGCTCAGCTGCTTGGAACCTTCTCATCAGGTCCCGCTTCACTGTAGAGTACAAACTAATCCGACGGCCAGTGGGACTCGCCAGCTTAATTGGAGCTCCGGGACAGGATCTCGACCGTTGATGGTGGGTCTTCTTGATTGGAGTGCGAATCGTCAAACCTACGTCTGAAATGAAAGAAACAAGGTGGTGTCAACGAGAATATCATAATGAAAGAATAATAAAGTTATTTATAAAAATTTACCATGCGCGCTTCGAGTGATATCTTCGCTTCGACGCTGGATCTGGGACCTCGCCGGCTGGCTCAATTCCCCACTCGGGAAATAATCCGTGATCGTGAGACCAGAGGAGATCCCAGCTTCGCCATGATCGTCGAAAGCTGGAGGTAACGGAACTGAATCACGAAGTACGTACGTGTGCTCAACATTCTGTGGCGTATCCAGGGACATGTCACAGCGGTGCTAAAACGGTGGCTCTAAGCTTTTGTTACCTGCGAAATGGTGGAGGAGGGGATGTGTTGAGAATTTAGTCCAAATGTCCTTCACATACGGTACCCACAGCAAAGCGATGGGATGGGATGGGATGGGATGGGATGGGGAGGGATGGGATGGGATGGATGGGTGGGATGGGACAACCAGAAAGCGTTCATACAGCAGATCCAGCATTAAAGTGTTAAACTGTAGTATGCTTGTAGGCTGTAGTGGGGTAGCCAATATGGGGTACAACCCCAACTAGGGTTTCATATTTGTACCCAAAACTTCTGCTAGTTCATCATTCTTGCCTAGTGATTCTGAAATGGTATCAGAGCAGGAGGTCCCTAGGACCTACCGATCGTTTTTTTAGGGCCCACCACCGCTCGCATGCGGTTACCACGCTACCCCGTTCCCTAGCCTCGTAGCGCCCTCGTGCGCCCTCGTTAGCGCCCTCGCGCGCACCCTCGTTAGCGCCCTCGCGCGCACTCACGTCAGCGCCCTCGCGCGCCCCTTCGTTAGCGCCCTCGCGCGCCCCTTTGCTAGCGCCCTCGCGCGCCCCTTGCTAGCGCCCTCGCGCGCCCCTCACTAGCGCCCTCGCGCGCCCCTCACTAGCGCCCTCGCGCGCCCCTCGCCGAGCCGCCCGCTCGCAGCCCGCCCGCCCGCCCCAGCTTAGTGTTCGTTCCCACTGGCAGACTCGTGACGCAGCTGCTCGCCTAGCCATTCGCAGTCACCTGCCGTTAGCTGAGCTAGAGCATTTTGGCGACTGCAAATCCGCTAAGGCCCTCTACGACGCTGTCGTCGCTCGCTACTCCTCGCCTGCCACAGCCGAGCTTAGCCGCCTCATGCTGCCGTACCTGTTCCCCGATCTGTCCACCTTTACTACAGTCGCCGATCTTATCACCCACCTTCGCACTAGTGATGCTCGCCTGCGTGCCGCCCTTCCCACCGAGTTCTGCGCTAAGAACCCCCCTCCACTGTACTGGACACTCCACTTCATAGTCACCCGTCTCCCTGACACCCTCCGCTCAGTTCGAGACCACTTCCTTGCTCGCTGTCCCACTGAGCTCACAGTCGCCCTCCTAGAGGAGCACCTGCTCGCGGCCGAAAAGAGCATTGTAGCTGTCGGTGCTGCTCGTGGCGCTCCTCGCACCCCCATCTTTGAGGGGTGTTCTCCCTCTCCCCTCGCTCCCTCCTACGCTGCTGCTGCTGCTGTTGACTTCCTTGGTGCTGAGTCTGTTGGCGCTGCTTCTACTCCTGGTGGGAGGCGCCGCACCGGCAAGGGCAAGGGGGGCAAAAGTGGTGGTGGTGGCGCTGGTGGGGGAGGAGGTGGGGGAGGTGGGGGGGGAGGCGGTGCTGGAGGGAGCGGTGGCGGGAGCGCTGGTGGGAGTGGGGTCGGTGGTGGAGACGGGGGCGGCGGAGGGAGCAGTGGCAGTAGTGGCGGCGGCGGCGGTGGCGGCGGTGGCGGTGGTGGCGGTGGTGGCGGTGGCGGTCGGAGCGGTGGTAGTGGTGGCGGCGGAGGTCGGAGTGGAGGCACTGGCTCTGGCCAGAGCTCCCAGCAGCAGCAGCGTCCCCAGACGACCCAGCAGCTTCGTGAGTGGCTTGCTCAGCGTGGGACGTCGGGGGCCAGTGCCCGCTGTTCTTATGTCATTCGCACAGGTGACCGCAAGGGACAGACGTGTGGGAGGTTCCACACCCCGTACCGCTGCTTCTCCCGCCTTGACGACGCTTGGCGTGAGGAGATGGGTGCGGATGTTGAGCGCCCCCGCTGGGCTGAGCTCATGAGGGCTGGTGTTGATGTCTTTGCTCTTGACTATGATGCTATTATTGCTGCCATGTATGCATTGACTGTTAGTGCCGAGGGAGACTGTTACTTGTGTGTGCCGCCTGACCCAGGTATAGAGCCCGCTGCCCTGGGTACTAGTGAGTCTGCTCTCTCTGGTATGGTGCCCCCTGTACTTGCTCCCTCCAGTGCTGTCCCGGCTGGTTTCGAGTCTGCTCTCTCAGGTACAGCACCCACAGAGACTGCTCTCTCAGGTACCGCACCGGCTGAGGCCTGTCACACCTTCACCCTTGACTCAGGTGCTTCCCGTTGCTTCTTTCGTGACAGTACTGAGCTCACACCGCTTCCTGCACCGGTCCCAGTCTCCTTGGCTGACCCCTCTGGGGGCCCAGTCCTTGCCCAGTCTACCACTGTCCTCCCTTGTCCGGCGGTTCCGTCTGGCTCGTTGTCGGGTTTCCACCTCCCCTCGTTCTCGACGAACCTGGTGAGCAACGCTGTCCTCCAGGATCAGTGGGTTGACACCTTTACCCCTGGCGGACAGCGTGTGGCGATCTGCACGTGCTCCAGGACCGGCCGTCACCTGGCCACGTTCACCCGTCGGCCGGGGTCGAGTCTCTACACACTGACCACTGCGTCTCCCCAGGTAGCTGCTGTCGGTCAGGTGTCTGAGTCAGGTCTGGTGGCCCACGCCTGTGAGTGTCGTTCCCTGTCGCACCAGACTCTTCTCTGGCACCACCGCCTGGGTCACCCCTCCTTGCCACGCCTTCGTGGCATGCACCGTCGCCTCCTTGTGTCCGGTCTTCCCAGGTCCCTCCCTCCCCTCCCTGCCTCGCCTGCGCCGCCTTGCCTTCCTTGCGTCGAGGGGCGGCAGCGCGCCGCTCCTCACTCCTCCTCGTTCCCCCCGACAGAGGCTCCTCTGGAGACCCTCCACCTGGACGTGTGGGGCCCAGCCCGCGTTCGTGGTCAGGGCGGTGAGCGGTATTTTTTGCTGGTTGTCGACGACTACTCGCGTTACACCACGGTCTTCCCCTTGCGCACCAAGGGTGAGGTCCCTGCTGTTCTGATCCCTTGGATCCGCACGGTTCGTCTCCAGCTCCGCCGCCGTTTCCGGACGGATCTTCCTGTCCTGCGTCTGCACTCTGACAGAGGTGGTGAGTTTTCCTCCGACCTCTTGAGGACCTTCTGTCAGGCGGAGGGCATCGAGCAGACCTTCACGCTTCCGGACTCCCCACAGCAGAATGGGGTTGCTGAGCGTCGCATTGGCCTGGTCATGGAGGTCGCCCGTACCTCCTTGGTCCACGCGGCGGCTCCCCATTTTCTGTGGCCGTTTGCTGTCCGGTACGCCGCGCATCAGCTCAACCTCTGGCCCCGTGTCTCCTTGCCGGAGACCTCGCCCACACTGCGTTGGACGGGGGAGGTTGGCGATGCGTCGCGCTTCCGGGTGTGGGGTGCTCGTGCCCTTGTCCGCGATACGTCCGCGGACAAGCTCTCCTCCCGCACGCTTCCCTGTGTCTTCCTTGGCTTTGTCCCTGACGCGCCTGGCTGGCAGTTTTACCACCCCACCTCGCGCCGGGTCTTCGCCTCTCAGGATGTCACCTTTGACGAGTCGGTCCCCTTTTACCGTCTCTTCCCCTACCGCACTGCCCCCCTCCCTCCCCCGCCACTTTTCCTTGCTCCTGGTCCCCCTCCGGTAGACCCCCTTCCCCCTCAGGGTCCTGCTCCTTCAGGTGTCTCTCAGGTAGACCCTCCTCCCGTCGCTGAGCCTGTCGAGGTCACAGGTGACTCAGGTGCTGCTGCGGGTGGTGCTGCTGGGAGTGCTGAGCCTGGGGGTGCTGAGCCTGGGGGTGCTGGGCCTGGGGGTGCTGGGGCTGCAGGTGCTGGGACTGAGGGTGCTGGAGCTGAGGGTACGGTGCCTGAGAGTACGGAGCCTGGGGGTGCTGCGCCTAGGGGTGCTGAGCCTGCGGGTGCGAGGCCTGGGGGTGCTGAGCCTGGGGGTGCTGAGCCTGCGGGTACTGAGCCTGCGGGTACTGAGCCTGGGGGTGCTGCTACTGAGCCTACGGAGCCTCGGGTTACTGTGTCTGGGGGTGCTCCGGTTCGGGGTGCTGAGCAGTCTCTCACACCGCAGCAGCTTCGTGACTGGTACGTCCGACGCTTTCGCCGTCCTAGTGGCTCGGCTGGAGTTTGGGGTGCTGGAGCTACTCGTCCTGGGGGTGCTCGTACTGGGGGTACTGGAGCTGCCGGGACTGGCTGTTCTGGGAGCGCTGCGACTGGAGCTGCTGGAGCTGGGGACTCTGGCGCTGGCGGTGCTAGCGGAGTTGGAGCTGCCGACTCTGGGGGTGGCGCTGCTGCTGGTGCTGCGGACCCACCTGGTGGAGCTGCTGCTGGTGCTGAGGAGTCGGACGGTGGAGCTGCTGCTGGAGCTGGGGACCCGGCCGGTGGAGCTGCTGCTGGTGCTGTGGACCCGGACGCTGGAGCTCCTACTGGTGCTGAGGACCCGGCCGCTGGAGTCCCTTCTGCTTCTGGAGACGCTGCGCGGCCGCGACCGTACTTCGTACCGCTCCTTCAGCAGGTTCTTGGGCAGGCTCCTCCTCCTTGTCCTCCTCCCTCCGTAGAGTGTCCTCCGCCTGTCCAGCCGCAGTCACAGTTACCGCCTGCCTCGCCTCTCCCTGCTCCCTCTCCTTATACTGGTCCCACAGGAGGTCTTACAGAGCGTCGTGAGCCTGAGTCTCGTCCTGCGTCGCCTGTTCGTCCTGCTCGCACTAGTAGTCGTGTCCGTCGTGAGCGTCCTCCTCCTGTCCCAGGCACTCACTACATGACTCTACGTCCCTCTACTGCTCCTCGGCGTGTCCCTCTACCGTCTCCTCCTGCGTCCTCTTTGCCTGCCGTTCCGGACCCTGAGTCTGACCGGTATCGCGCTGAGCACCCTACAGTCACGCGTCTCCTCGCTACTGTTGTCACTGACCCTACCTTTGAGTCCTCGGCTGCGTCTGCTCTGGTCGCTGAGTTGGTTGACTTTGCTGCTGCCTGTCGTCTAGACTATGCTGCTAGCCTTGTTGCTGAGTCTGAGTCTGCGTCTGTCTGTCCTCCGTCCGTCGGGGGTGAGTGTGCTCTTGGCACGGACGTCCTTGAGGACAGGCAGGAGGACTTTGACTCTCTTGCGGCTGCTGTACCTCATCTCGTGGCCTGGTTGCTTGCCCCTGAGGGAGACCCGGATGCACTAGACATCCCCACTCCGCGCACTTACGCAGAGGCGATCTCGGGTCCCTACTCCTCTCAGTGGCAGACAGCCATGGACGCAGAGATGGCATCCTGGAAGTCCACAGGCACCTACGTCGACGAGGTTCCCCCTCCTGGGGCGAACATCGTCGATGGCATGTGGATTTTCAGGGTGAAGCGGCCGCCAGGTTCTCCGCCTGTCTTCAAGGCTCGTTACGTTGCTAGAGGCTTCAGTCAGCGTCAGGGGGTCGACTTCTTCCAGACCTTCTCCCCCACCCCGAAGATGACCACTCTTCGGGTTCTGCTGCACGTTGCTGCTCAGCGTGACTACGAGCTTCACTCTCTTGACTTCAGCACAGCGTTCCTGCAGGGCAGCCTGCACGAGGAGATCTGGCTGCGCCGCCCACCTGGCTTTACTGGGTCGTTTCCCCCTGGTACCCAGTGGAGTCTCCGCCGGCCAGTCTACGGTCTCCGCCAGGCGCCACGTGAGTGGCACGACACACTGAGGACTACTCTTGCGGCTCTTGGGTTCGCGCCGTCTACTGCTGACCCGTCACTGTTTCTGCGCACAGACACGTCGCTGCCGCCGTTCTACATTCTCGTGTACGTCGACGACTTGGTCTTTGCTACTGCTGACACTGAGGCACTCGCTCGTGTGAAGTCGGAGCTGCAGAAGAGACACACCTGCACTGACCTGGGTGAACTGCGTAGCTACCTTGGCTTGCAGATCACCCGGGACAGAGCTCGCCGCACCATCACCCTGACTCAGTCACACATGGTGCAGCAGGTCCTTCAGCGCTTCGGCTTCCAGTTCTCCTCACCACAGGCCACACCTCTGGCTACCAGCCACTCGCTCTCAGCTCCACCTTCGGACGAGTCCGTAGAGCCGAGTGGCCCGTACCCAGAGCTTGTAGGCTGCCTCATGTACCTGATGACTTGCACGCGACCTGACCTCGCGTACCCTCTTAGCATCCTTGCTCGTTACGTTGCGCCTGGGAGACACAGGCGAGAGCACTGGGAGGCTGCTAAGAGGGTGCTGCGTTACCTGTGCAGTACATCAGGCATGGGGCTGGTGCTTGGGGGACGCGACAGAGTTGTCCTCACTGGTCACTCGGACGCCTCTTGGGTGGACGACCTGGCTACGCAGCGGTCGTCACAGGGTTACACCTTCAGCCTTGGCTCAGGTTCTGTCTCGTGGCGGTCCACCCGCTCTTCCTCTGTTCTCAGCTCTAGTTGTGAGGCTGAGATCTACGCCACAGCCATGGCTGCACAGGAGTTACGCTGGCTCACCTACCTGCTGACTGACTTGGGAGAGCGGCCTAGTTCTCCTCCAGTTCTGTACGGTGACAACAAGGCGGCTCTTGCCTTGTGTCAGGAGCACAGACTGGAGCACAGGACGAAGCACATTGCTCTTCGCTACTTTCTTGCTCGAGAGCTTCAGCAGCGCGGTCAGCTTCGGCTTGTGTACGTGGACTCGAAGGCCAATACTGCTGATATCTTCACCAAGGCGCTCCCGCCTAGTGATCATCAGCGGCACTGTACTTCTTTAGGCCTTGTGTCCACGTTTCCTCACTTGCTCACTGCTTGACATTCTTTGTACTGTACTTTATATATATCTTGTTGCTTGCTTGCTAGTTTTTGATCACTGTGTTGCTTGTCTTGTACTATATCTAGCACTGCATGTGAACTGGCCTTGTGGCCTTTACTTGTGCTCGGAGTGTGGTGACGTTGTGATCCACCCTGGGCGTTGCTTTGCTTTGCTGGACTGGTCTTGTGACCCTTTGTTCTCCCCCACTTTGCCTATGGGGGTGTGTTAAACTGTAGTATGCTTGTAGGCTGTAGTGGGGTAGCCAATATGGGGTACAACCCCAACTAGGGTTTCATATTTGTACCCAAAACTTCTGCTAGTTCATCATTCTTGCCTAGTGATTCTGAAATAAAGTCATTAAACCTTCATACAGCGGATCCAGCAGAAAAACTTAGGTTGGCTCACAAATCGCGTGGCAATAAAAATTTTACTGTACGAACACTTAGCGAAACGGAAATATTCTTGTCGATTTTGGAAACGACAAAGAAATTGTATCAATCTACGTTGGTCTGGTGATCGTGATTTGCATTCACATTATTCTTACAGGCTTGTATGATTTGTAGGCCTGAAAGCGAGCAAAACGACGAAGCCATAACTTGAAAGAAATAATAAAAAAATGGTTCAGCATAAAAATAAAAGCTTGTTCGTAGTTTTGACACCATTGTGATTTTGGAATTTTGACTCAAGCATACATTGTTGGTTGGTGTACAAAAATTGCTCAATGTCAGCATGTCATAATAATCACATATCTCGCTCGTCAAGATTCGCACCTCACACCATCCAACTGAAATTCTCACATAGATAAACGACCAATATTATTGATACTCAAAGTATGACTGATTGGTATTTTGCATCGGTATTCAACCTCAATTTCTCATCGCTGATTGGTCTCGCTTTTCAAACAGACTTTTCACGCTAATAAGACTTCCGAATGGTGATTGAAACAGAACGCGATTATCGAACTTAAATATGAACAATCATGTCGAGCAGTTACCCAAGAGTAGAAAAAACAAATCATTGAATCTTCAATGCTTAAAAGGAAATGTATCGGACACGAATTTCGTATGGAGGAAATGACATAAATCACAATCATGCAACAAGATGTTTAGGATTGTTGCCATCTTGACTGAATTTCTTTCCGTAGGGGTTGATTTTTCATTGCCCGCGGGCAACAAGCTCCGTTGAGCGGTGTCGTTTGTCCGTTGAGCTAATCAAAACGGAAAGTATCAGCCCTAAACACTCGATGACTTTCCGTATTTAGAGTTCATACTCCCAAATTCTATCCAGATTATCCAAGCACTTTAGTAATTTTCCTGATTTTTTTTGTATATGTAGGTGAGGTGCTTGTGGCAATTTTGTCTCAATATTGTGCTTATAATTGAACGAAACAGCATATTTAGATAATATACTCCGAAAATATCTAATGCGTACGTTTGCAAACTGCTCTTGGCATATTTCGATTATCAATGATATTGGCCAAATAGATAAACCTGACGATTCGCTCTCACCCAATTATTACGGCAACCATCATAAATAATCAAATAATGTCAAGGGCGGTTTGCATCTACACTCAACCCCGAATTTTCAATGCTCATTGGTTCTCGCGTTTCATTTACACTTTCCACCATAATCACACGTTCGAGATGTGACAAACAGAACGCGAATACCGAACGGAAATACAAACGATTGTGTTGAGGTGTCGACTTGAATGCGTAACCTTTTATACGCGGAAGCACCCTAATATAGGTTACCATAAATTTTTTTATTTACATGCCCTTGCATTGGAGTGAGACTTCTTTAAAGAACCACAAATAAAATAAAACAAATTAAAGAAACACATGCAAAAGGGGAAGGCACCAACCCTAATGACTGGATGACTTTCCGTAATTAGAGTTGATTCTCCTAAAGTGTATCCAGGGTACCTAAGGATTTGAGGGCTTATTAATATTTTATTTTCAGGGGTATATGCGGGTGAGGTGTTAGTGGCGGCTTTGTTTCATTGTTGTGATTATAACCTGAATGAACTACTAACGTACGTACCATAAGACAAAATTGTCGGTTGATTACAGATGCAAAATAATTATGAGTATGTATGATGTTGGCCGCAATTATTGGTGTGATGTGAGTCGGTGCAGGAATTGCAGTGTGGTGTTGTGCCTGACTTTTTGACACGTGCTTAAAATTCGCACAAGAACAAATTTTCGTGTCCCACCAATGAGGTTTCGTCGCACAAGCACACATGTTCGTAGGCGCGACTCGACTTGACTCTGTTTCTACAGTGATTGACACGGCTAAAGTGGACCGACTCAGGTTGACGCGCAACAGCTGGTGTCAAAACTACGCGCTTAGAAATGTGTACTGTACGACATGAAGCAGTCAATGCTGTTCAGGTGTGAAAGAACACAGAATCTTCCAGGTCTACCGTTAGTACAGTACAAGGACCATGCACGCGCACTACAAGACAAAGAAAACGACAGCTGGGAGCGATTCATAAGTCCTCGATCAAGACCGTACAGTCAAATACTACACCGAATGCTGTGCGGACACACGGGATCCACCGAACGAGCCTGAGGAGGTCATCATTATCGTTCACTCAGTACATTGTTCAAGTTTTTTTGCACTTTGAAGGCTTTCGAAAATTCTATCCGTGGATTACCCATTCATTGGGTGTTCCTGGTACACCCTATTCGCGATAATTGCACACCCCCTACCTCCTTTTTTTGAAGGTGCCCTATTCCGATTCAGGCTCGATACGACGGACACCCTGAAACTCAAGGACTATCAGTCGACAGCAAGATGCAGTTTCCCTTGAAATTACACCATGTGTTCCGAGTGAGGACGGGGTTGGATAGGCACGACTGAAGTTTTTAATGCTTACGATTATTCGCGACTGGGTTTCGGAACACCCACCAGCTGTTCAATATTCGCAGCGAACTACCCTGCAAGAATGTTTGTATCCCGGATATGTACCCCCAGGGTGTGCGTTTAAGGGGTGTGAAATTATCGCGAATAGGGTGTACTGAGGCTGCCAGTCCGAGAACTCCGATAAGTCCTTGGGTGATTGCCCGTGATACACCTAGGGCCAATTTCACCCGCCTTGGCAATTATTTCCGGTTTACCCGATACCGAAGAGTTGTTTAGAAGACATTCGTTTTTAAGAGAGTACGTTTCAAAATCTTCGTCCTAATTAGAGCAGAACAAACGTACCCTCTTAAAAACGGTTGAAACGGCAATCCTGATGCACCGCACTACAATGCAAAAAAAAAAGTCTCGAAACTTTCGCCGACTCTTCAACATTGATGATGCTTCTTCAAAGATTCCTTCCGCACCCGCAACGCAGTGCTGTGTTGTGCGGTTCACCGCTACAAGCCAATGTGGCAACAGAACAGCACCCTGATTTAAGCCCCTCATGCTTGCCTTGCATTTTGGGCTAACCCACGTGTCAAGAAAGGGAAAATTGGTTCATCCTTCCTAAGGTTGGTTGGATATTACCCGGTTTTCAGCGGAGGCAATTTTTCAAACAAATCAACCTGGTCGCGAACATTCACCCAACGAGAATACTGTAGGAGCGACAAGAGCCTAGTTCGGCTTCATCGCACGGTACTATCGCCCAACACCAACCTGCGTAAAGATAAGGCACACAGGCAATAGAAACTTGTCCCCAAAACGCCAATGATGATTCACGAGTTCTAGGACCCACTATTAGACGCGCGCAGCCCGCAATGTTACCTCCAAGATACCCCGTTGTGGGTAACCCAAATGACTCATTATAGGATTCCGCAATGTAGCCTCAAAGTTCGTGGTGACCGCGAGGTTACTCACGAGGTAACCTACAAGGCACTGCGATGATTCCGCTCCCAGGTTGATGGAGCGAATCAGACGCCACCCCCGTGCGCGCCGCGAACATTTTGTTGAATAATACACTTCAACAGTAGACTATATTTTTTTGATTGATAAATAGTATTTCGTATGTTTCCTATTATATTACTGGTGAGAGCTAGGAACTACTGGTGCTAGGAGTAGCCGGAGCAAGGCACGGCTGGAGCAAGGCACGGCTGGAGCAAGGCACGGCTGGAGCAAGGCACGGCTGGAGCAAGATACGGCTGGAGCTAAGCACGGCCGGAGTAAGGAGCAAGTACAGCTAGGTTCAAGCGAAGTTAGGAGCGCCGAGCTACGGACGAGCAGAGTTAGGAGCGATGAGAGCTAGGAGTGAATGGGGCGTGGAGCGCTAATATAACAAACGGCTGGAGCGAGGAGCAAACTAGGCTAGGAACCTAGGAGCTAGGAGCAATGAGCGAACCGTTCCTAGGTCGAACCACTTGAGAGGAGAGCGGCTGCCAGCCGCTGCTGGTGAAACCAATGACAACAGGATTAGATAAGGCGACGGAATCAGCGGGGGTAGGGCGCAGGGCAGGGGCGCGCGCTGGGCGGAGCGTGCTACCCGAGTAGGGGCGCGCACGGCTGGCTGGGGGGCGCGCGCGATCGGGCTTGGGCACGCGCCGCTGGCCTAGGTGTGCGGTGCTGGCTAGAGGGGCGCGCAGCTGGCTACTGGTGTGCGCTTCTGGCTGGTGGTGCGCGCTGGAGACTAGGGGCGTGCGCGCTGGCTAAGGGCGTGTTCCTACAGCCCCTTATCAGGCGAACCTCCTGTCAGATTTGCATCACGACGCATTGAAACACATGTAATAACATTCGATCGCACTGAAATGCATTGAACCGCACAAGTCTGACAAGAGGTCGGCTGATAAGGGGCCGTAGGAACACGCCCTAAGGGCGCGCGCCTGGCTGACTAGGGCTCGAGCTACTGGCTAAAGGTGCGCGCACGTTCTGGCTGGGGCGCGCTTCGGGCTGGGGCGTGCGCTTGTGGCTGGGGCGCGCGCTGCTAAGGGGCGCGCGCGTTCTGGCTAGGGGGCGCGCTTGGGGCTGGTGGTGCGCACTGCAGGCTAGGGGCGCGCGCGCTAGCTGGGACACGCGTGGCTGGCTGGGGCGTGCGCTGCTGGCTAAGGGCGTACACGTTCTGGCGGGGGGCGCGCTTCGGGCTGGGACGCGCGCTGCTGGCTAGGAGGGACAGGCGGCGGGTGGAACTAAAAGCAGAGAAGAAATGATACCATGTTGAGAGTGATGCATAGCGGAATGGTGAGACTAGGAAAACAAGGCAATACAAATGTGGAACCCTAACTGTGTTGTACTCGCAAAGGAGTACCTCACTGCAGCCTATAACAATTACCGTCATACCCCGGATAGAAGCGCCCCTGGGGTTGTAATAAAACACTGTTTTTTAGGGGGTGCACTAATAATTGAGGAAATTTATAAGCGCCGGCGTTTATATAACGGCAAAATGAAATTAAGTTTTTTTTTAACACCAAACTGTAGATCTCGTTCTGCCAATTGTAATCGAGTCGAAAATATATGGGGTCGCGAATTTGACTCTCGAGCAACTTGGCAGGGATTGATTCCCTGCCAACACATGCTGACTAAGCGACAGCGCGTGCTGACTAGACGCGCAGCAAGTGTGATTTGAGTAGGAAAGTGGAGCTGTACTTCGCTTCCCTGGTAAGGTGAAATTCGTTTATGTGTTTCGACTGATTTTCAGATAATATTCGACATGCGCTTATAATAAATCATAAATTTTTAGGGGGTGCGCTTATAATCGAGGACCGGATATAAGCGCCCTCATCCCTTTATAAGCGCCGGCGCTTATCCGAGGCCTGCGCTTCTATCCGGGGTATGACGGTATAACATTTGACACATCGCGTCAAAACACACTGAAATTTCCCTAAACCCAGAAACCTTTGCGAATTTTACCAGGCAAGTTTGACAAGATGTTTGCCTGATAAGAGCGGAGGAACATGCCCATACTAAGTTATTTGAGCACACGCAAATGCGCTCCATTGCCTCATAAGGCTCGACAGACTAGAATGCGGTTTCTTGATAGGCATATTATACTAGTCCTTTCCTGTGCCAATTGGTTGCATCTACACTACAACATCATGTTCATGCTTCAAAACCTTTCTGCGATACATACGCAGGTCGATAAATTTCATGACAGGCATTAAAGTAGTGATGTGAGGAGGAAGAGGCATTGGGGGGAAGTGGTGTAAAAGTGAGGAGTGGAGTGGGCGCAGGTGCAAGAGGAGGAAGACGAGAGAGGCTTTGGAGAGGTGTTGGGAGGACTGGAGGAAGTGAGGAGTGGGGGTTGTGAGCGGAGGTACTAGAGGAGGAAGACAAGAGAGAGAGTGAGGGAGGGGGTGAGGGAGGGGTGAAGCACAGATAATTCAATCCACTGCAGAGACAATCACGTGTGCGATCTGGGGAGGAGGATGAGGAGAGAAGCATTGCAGGGGAGGTGGGTTGGGAGGAGGACCCAAGGAGGTGCACGGGGGGCGAGCGCAGATGCTTCAAATTACGGAAATGACATTCACATGAGAAGCGGAGGAGGACGAAGAGGGAGGAAGAGGAGATTGGCGCTGGAGAGGTGGTGGGGGAATTCGATGGGGAGAGGAGTGGGGTGGAGGGGGAGGGAGAGGAGAAGGAAGGGAAGAGACGCTTTGCTTGGAGGAGCGAGAGGGGGAGGATGGGGGGGTCTGGTCGGGGCACGCTCAACTTATTCAGTTCATGGATTTTGAGGCATCTCAAATGTCAAGCGCAGTTCATTCAGTCCATGGCAGCAACCTTATTATGGGAATCAGAGGACCTTTGGGACGTCTCAAAAGTCTCAAAAGTCATTCAGTGGATGGCAGTAACGTTACTATGGGAATCGGAGGAGGAGGAGGAAGAGGAGAGATATGCTTGGGAGGTGTTGGGAGGGCTTGAGGAGGCAAGGAGAGGGGTGGAGGGGGAGGAGGAGGAGAGGGAAGGGAAGAGGCGCTTTTGCTTGGAGGAGCGTGAGGGGGAGGATGGCGGGTCAGCCAGGGGCCATCGTGGTCTCAGCTCCACCTGATGGTGTATGGATGGGATGGGATGGCAGAGGAGGGAAGGCAGAAGAGGAGGCAGAAGAGGAGGCAGAAGAGGAGGTAGAAGAGGAGGTAGAAACGATGAACAGAAGAGCAGGACGGGAACCAGCGCGGTCTCAGCTCCACCTGATGATTGTTAGGATGAGATGGGAGAGTGGGACACGAGGAAAGAGGATGACTGAGTGTGAGGGGGAGGATGGCACACACATGGAGGGTGTGTTGGGGGCCAGCGCGGTCTGAGCTTCACCTGATGGTGTTCGGATGGGATGGTGCATGCATGGCAATGGAAGAAGGGCAGAAAAGGAAAGATTGCAGCATGCGTGCGTGCGTGCGTGCGTGCGTGCGTGTGTGTGTGTGTGTGTGTGTGTGTGTGTGTGTGCGTGCGTGTGTGTGTGTGTGTGTGTGCGAGCGTGCATGCGTGCGCGCACGTGCGCGTGTGTGTGTGTAACCGTAATGAATAATGAAGTTTCCCACTGATTCATTTGGTCCCAATGAAACTACGTATGACCAATAATCTTCTTGAAAGATACTTACATAAGCGTCATCATCCGATTCCCCTACAGCAGGCGGAGGCTCCATGATTCCCAGTCTGAAGCGTTCGTACCCCGCCCATGCCACCATGACCCCTGGGAGGGAGTGAGGAGGGGATGTATGGACGGACGCATGTGGAAGGGGGAGGGAGAAGATGGGGACTGTCTACAGCAGGCGGGCGGAGGCTCCATGATTCCCAGTCTGAACCGCTCGTACCCCGCCCATGCCACCATGACTCCTGGGAGGGAGTGAGGTGGGGAGACTGATTGGAACAGGAAGATTGCGACCGCGAAGAGGGAGAGGTGGTTCGCCTGCAACAGGCAGAGCCATGGAGGCTCCTTATTCCCTGGCCTGAAGAGTTCGCACCCCGCCCGCCCATACCACCATGACTCCTGGGAGGGAGTGAGGAGGGGATGTATGGACGGACACATGGGGAAGGGGGAGGGAGAAGATGGTGACTGTCTACAGCAGGTGAAGGCTCCATGATTCCCAGTCTAAACTGAAGCGCTCGCACCCCACCCAGGACTCCAGCGCTCCTGGTTGGAGACAGAATAGGGACAGGCGATGGGTGACAGGGAAGAGGAGAGGACAGGGAAGAGGAGAGGGACCCAGAAGGCCAGTTTCCCCCCTCTCCTTCCCCCTCCCCTCCAATCAACAGCCACTGCCACCACTCACCATTATCGGTGCAGAGACGGGGAGGTGGGCACACGAGCCTCACCCCCGACTGCTTGCAGACTGCTGCTATCCGCGTGCGGACGACTTGATTGGACGCCACTCCCCCTGCCATCACCTGAATTGTTGCCCGTGGGGAGGAGGGGGGAGAGCAGAGAAATCGCACGAAGGAAGGAATGAAGAGGCGAGCGGGAAGGAGGGCGCACAGCCCTCCCTCTCCCTCTCTCCACCTCTCCCTCGTTCTCTCCCTCTGACTCACCAGTGTGTCAATCGCAAGAGTTGATTCTCTCGCCAACTGAATGTTTTGAGACGACTCAAAACACCCTCATTCTCTCCCTCTCTCCACCTCTCCCTCGTTCTCTCCCTCTGACTCACCAGTGTGTCAATCGCAGGAGTTGATTCTCTCGCCAACTGAATGTTGTGGGGCGACTCAAAACACCCTCATTCTCTCCCTCTCTCCACCTCTCCCTCATTCTCTCCCTCTCTCCACCTCTCCCTCGTTCTCTCCCTCTGACTCACCAGTGTGTCAATCGCAGGAGTTGATTCTCTCGCCAACTGAATGTTGTGAGACGACTCAAAACACCCTCGTTCTCTCCCTCTCTCCACCTCTCCCTCATTCTCTCCCTCTGACTCACCAGTGTGTCAATCGCAGGAGTTGATTCTCTCGCCAACTGAATCGCTCGCTCCACTCTGGATTTTTGAGTCGACTCAAAAGTCAGCTCGACTCAAGAGTCGACTCAAAACTCAGACTCACCAGTGTGTCAATCGCAGGAGTTGATTCTCTCGCCAACTGAATGTTGTGAGACGACTCAAAACACCCTCGTTCTCTCCCTCTCTCCACCTCTCCCTCATTCTCTCCCTCTGACTCACCAGTGTGTCAATCGCAGGAGTTGATTCTCTCGCCAACTGAATTGCTCGCTCCACTCTGGATTGCAGATGCAGCACTGCCACCTCCTGATTGGGAGCAAACATGGGCACCGAGAGAAAGGAGGGGAAGAGATCTCGGCGGGCGACATAACAGCCTTTGGATTTTGGGTAGACACGTCTTTATTAAATATCATGGAGAAGAAGAGGGGTATAATTTTTTAGTCGACTGAAAAAGCGGACCAGAAACAACAGGGTTACCTCAGAAATTGTTGCAGGGCAGACAGCTTTAATGGGGAAACGATTGGTGCAATAGAAAGAAGTTACCTGGAAAGAGGCAGCAATGTCGGCTCGTAACTGCCGGTCCTCCGGAGTTGCTTCGGCAATAGGAATGGTTTGCGCTGCCCTGGGAAGGAAGGAGGAGTCAGGTTCGGCATGAGAGGTAGGTTAGGTCAACTCAGGACACACACAACCTTTCTCACCCATTTCCCGCCATTTCCACCCATTTCCACCCATTTCCACCCCCTTCCCCTCCTCACCCTCCACACAAGGCCTTACGGTGCCTCCTTCTGTATACAGCGTGCCACATTGGCTTTAAGTCCTGAAAAGGAGAAGTCGCAGCTCTTGACACGCGCTAGTGGCACCTGGATGGGAGGGGGGGTGAGCGGAGGGAGAAGAGTGAGGGGAGACACGAACAGGGGAAACACGAACAGGGGATACATGCAGCGAGCCACGTTCGCCTTAAGTCCTGAAAAGGAGAAGTCGCAGCTCTTGACACGCGCTAGTCGTTATATATGTATATATGTGTGTGTATATATATATATATATAAAAGGCAACTACGGAAACAAGCAATTTTCTTACAGTGAACTTAAATCTCTCTCTGTGTCCTTCTCTCGCCAGCGCCTCAACGGCTGCCCCTCCGCCTCCCGGCCCTGACAAGTCCAGACCCAGCAGGCGCGCTGTCTTGTCAAACGCCTGAAAAAGGATGGGTTCAGGGGGGTTGAGAGGGATTATGGTGTGAATGAACGCACTGCTTCAACTGCCGCCCGTCTGCCTCCTAGCCCTGATCCAGCCCCAGAAGCGTCTTGTCAAAGGCCTGGGGGAAAGGGTTGAGGGGTACAGGTGGGTGAATTGAGACGTCTCAAAACAAAGATGGGTACAGGTGGGTGAACTGAGACGTCTCAAAACAAAGATGGGTACAGGTGGGTAAATGGGATGTCAGCGCCTCAACCGCTGCTCCTCCCCCTCCCGGGCCTGCTGCATCCAGCAGGCATGCTGTCGTGTCAAAGGCCTGAGAGAGAGATGGGTGGGGTGGGAAGAAAAGGGAGAGCTTATGGGGACGACAGGAGGAGCGTATCAGGACGACTAGTGCTGTGTGCTGTGTGCTTCTTCTGCTGCTCGCGCTATTTGACAACAGCAGCACCTCCCCTACTTTTCCCTCGAAATGGAAATGAACATCACACCACCGCACCTGACCTGACTCCACCTCGCATTACCTCAACTCAAACCACCACGTCTCCGCACCCCTCTCCATCGCACACCACCTCACCTCACCCATGGCATCGTCTAGAGTTGTTCCGAGCTGAGTGTATTGCCCCACTCCATGTGACAATAACAGAAGGTTGTGCCCGCCTAGGTGGAGAGGGGTTGGGGAAAGGGTAAGGGGAGGGGGAGAGGAAAGTAGAGGGGGAGAAAGGAGAGGGGGAGAGGAAAGGAGAGGGGGAGAGGCTGTGGCAATAACAGAAGGTTGTGCCCGCCTAAGGGGAAGGAGGGTATTTTGAGACGTCTCAAAGCCCGCCTAAGGGGAAGGAGGGTATTTTGAGACGTCTCAAAGCCCGCCTAAGGGGAAGGAGGGTATTTTGAGACGTCTCAAAGCCCGCCTAAGGGGAAGGAGGGTATTTTGAGACGTCTCAAAGCCCGCCTAAGGGGAAGGAGGGTATTTTGAGACGTCTCAAAGCCCGCCTAAGGGGAAGGAGGGTAGGAATGGAGGTATCAAAATATGCCACTGCCAGTGCGGAAGGCAGGAAGGCAGGAAGGCACTGGTGCGCTTTAAGTCGACCCAAAAGTCAGAAGGTGCCACAGCGAGTGCGGAAGACAGACTAGAACGGGTGCAGAGCTGATAAACGCACATGTTTAGATCAAAAGCCGTGTTCACGCACAAACCTGAGATCAAAAGAGTGAGGAAGGGGAAGGTGACATCTGGATGGGTCAGCCTGGAAGAGGGGGGGGGGTTGGGAGGGGGGGGGGGGGGGGGGGGGACCACAAGGGATAGAATTTTTACGAAAGCGCATCTTTGCGCGAGCACTAAACTCCACTGCACCTGATATCAAAAGCGCGAGGAAAGGGAAGGTGACATCTGAATGGGTCAGCCTGGAAGTGGGGAGAAGGGGAAACGGAAAAGGAAGATACAGCAATTGGGATATTTAGGTGACTTACGAATCATAAAATTCATGCATGGATTACTGGGAACAAAAAAAGGACAACTCGTTATTGACTGCCTTACAAAGAAAACTGACATGTAAACAAAACAACCCACCTGGCCACCAGCGCGTGTGCTTCCATGTGGTGGATGGGGATGATGGGAATGTTACACTGCGCCGCCATTCTCCTTGCCTTCATCACCCCCACTGCCATGAAAATAAAAAGCACAATCATGCATGCATGCACCCCGTGGCTTTAAGAGGAGAAAGTCATAACGGAGAAGTAAAAAAAAAAAACAAACAGAGGAGAAACAGACAGGAATGCTGAGGTAATGGCAGGCTCTAGCACAGGCTGAAGTGATTTATTGAGAAAAAACCCACCTCTCAAGCACAGGCTGAGCCCCGGCCCGATCGTGACCGCTATTGCGGAGAGATCCGACGGCTGTAAGCCAGCCTCATCCAAAGCTGCTTGTACCACCTGGGCATGGGAACGGGTGCAGAAAGAACCAAGAAATTAGCTTCGACAGGTAATCTCAAAATGTTCAGCGATGCAAGGTGGAAAGGAATGTTGAGGGGATCTGATGTGAATATAACCAAAGGGTAGTGCGCAAGGGAGTGACGTGTGTGAATGGAGGGAATAAGCCAAGCCAACCCAAGCCGAGCCAAGCCAGTCACAATGGAATCGGCGCCAACAAGTATAAAAGGTTTGGGGACAAGCCATGTATTTCATGATGATTTTTTTTTTTTTTTTTGAGGGAGAATAGAAGATAATTAGTGGAAGCAACTACTATTATTCAGATGTTAGGCCGACCGCTAGGATTAAGAAGAATACCGGGTCTATTGCCTTTTCATGCTCTCCACGTGCCAAGGATGGCACCACTCCCCCCCACTCCGCGTGCACCTTGCCCTGAGGACGGGAGGCGGGGGGGAGGAGGGCAGAGGACGGAGGGGAAGGGGAGGAGGAAAGAGGGCGGGTCTATGGCCTTTTCATGCTCCCCACGTGCCAAGGATGGCACCACTCCCCCCCACTCCGCGTGCACCTTGCTCTGTGGACGGGAGGAGGGAAAGGGAGGGCGGGGTGGAGGGGGGGGGGGGGAGAAGAGAGGGAAGATGAAAGGGAAAAAGGAGAAAGAATCCGTCCAAATGCCTATTGCTTTATAAAAGAACCACACAATACAAGGTCTATGCTACCCACTACATGGAAATGCATGGTACCTTAATATGCACTTAACGTGCACATGAACTCACTACATAATTCTTCATGTAGTTCCCAACTAAGCATGGCATTACATGGCAATACATGGCATTACATGGCAATACATGGCACTAGAAGGCTCTATGAGGCTGGCACTACATGAATCCACATGGCTATCCGTGATAAGTCGAGTTTTGAGTCGACTCAAAACTCGACTTTATCACATGAGCCTGGCGCTACATGACTCCACATGGCTATCCATGGCATGGCACAGTGGCACTACACGTCACTACATGGCTCTGCTACCTGTGACAGGTGACAGGTAACAGGTAACAGGTGACAGGTAACAGGTAACTGGTAACAGGTAACAGGTAACAGGTAACAGGTGACAGGTAACAGGTGACAGGTAACAGGTAACAGGTGACAGGTAACAGGTAACAGGTAACAGGTGACAGGTAACAGGTAACAGGTGACAGGTAACAGGTAACAGGTAACAGGTGACAGGTAACAGGTAACAGGTAACAGGTGACAGGTAACAGGTAACAGGTGACAGGTAACAGGTAACAGGTGACAGGTAACAGGTAACAGGTGACAGGTGACAGGTAACAGGTAACAGGTGACAGGTAATAGGTAACAGGTGACAGGTGACAGGTAACAGGTAACAGGTAACAGGTAACAGGTGACAGGTAACACGTAACCTGTATTAGCTCTAAATGGTCATTACCTGTGACGCCAGGGCTTCACCTAGAATTTGCCCATCGGATGTGACCTGTAACAGGCACGGAGAGGGTGAGTGGGGGAGTTGTATTGAGAAAATAATAACATAAAGGAAGGCTAACAAACTAAACCGATTACGACCAAATGATTACCACCAAGTCATCCCCGTATATAATCACTCCGGCTCTACAGTCACACTCGCGCTCACCACAGCAGCACCCCTGTAATCACAGAGCGTTTCAATTCATTTTCCAAACGTGCATTACTTCTAACACGAGGATTCGAACCAGGGAGCATTCAAGGCTTTTCTGAAACTCGTGTGCGCTCTCCGGGGTGCTCTCCAGTCACACAGTCACTCACCACAGCAGCCCCTGTGTCATCACAACTCGTCTCAATCCCGAGAATCAGATTAATGCCGCCACTGGGATTTGAACCCGGGTCATTCAACCCTCTCTGCTCCTCCGGCTCCTCCCCCTTTGCCACGTCAGCAACATCACCGGCACTTTGAGACGTCTCAGAACTCTCCCCTGCCACGTCAGCAGCATCAACCACAGTACTCCTGCGACTTCCAATCGGCCTATGCTTAACTGCAGAAAGCCCTGCTGTATGGTAACCCCTCATGTGGTAACCCCTCATGTGGTAACCCGACGTGGGGTAACCCCCAACTGCTCTCGCTGCCTTCAACCCCGAACCGGTATCTCCCGAAGTTCGCTGTGTTTGCAGGCCAACGATCTGCTGCCACGTGGCATGATTCCTCGGATGCGAGTGCAACAGAAATCTCTGTAACGGGTTGTGATGAGACAGCAAGGGACTCGCAGGAGTTCCTATCGAGGGTATGGAAGAAGCTTCTATCGTTTGCATTGCCTGCCTTGTGTACCTACTAAAGCTATTAACTACGCGTCGGGGTAACGCAGAGCCTGAAGACGCGACCCGGTTCATCTTATCTGTGTGGCTTACGTGGCACGCGCCTAGTTGCGCTCCGGCCATCGCTTGACAAGAGACTCCCCACACGCAGGAGAGAGATGTGTGTAGAGGTTACCAGTACGCGATATAACGCGCGGCGCTAACGATAAGATGGCACTACCCGGTGTTAGGTCTCCTAAGTGGATGGTATGAGCGGGCTACTCATAATCTCGGCCGCACAACACGAAGCCTAGGCCGTTTACTCAGCAAACAACCTGTTCGGGTGCGTAAGATGCGGACAGCGATGAAAAGCCTCAAGTGCGTCCGATCAGGTCGTGTTTTCCACATTTCGGGCGCATTCAGAAGTGTGAGTCTCAGGGGTGAAAGAACTGTAGCCTGACAAAGTACCTGTCCTGCCCGTGACTTGATCTCAGAACTCGTACTCCAAATGTAAATGGTAGGGTCTCGTTACGCTTTCTGCTAACACTAGACCTAGAATGTAAACACGCCTTGTATAGATCGTGGGATAACAGAACGTTTTTGTACGGTAAATAACGTTTACACTATGGTAAGACACGGTACATAGCGTTTCATTTATATTTGTGCCTTCACACGACTCTTCGCCTTCATCTGCTCTCTTCCTTCTGCCTCGCATTGCAGCTCTGCTTCTCTTGGGGAGGCAGTAAACCGTTTTTTGTTCACCGACGCCGTCCTAATCGCCAGCTCGCCTGCTCGCTTCTTCTTGTTTCGTACCTTCCTCCGACCGTGAGCTTTTTGTTGCTGTACAGCCGCCGACAATGGCGTCAGCTTGCCTACACCTCTCATCAACGCCTAATCTTAGAAAGATGTTAAACGCCGCGCTAGAGACTCTGGGAGCCGTTCCTTCATCTCAGATCGCGGATCGGACGGCTGCCGGCGATTCTGACGATCAGAAAATAGCCGCGCCGACAGACCTGACGGCGAAGTTTAAACAGTACACGTCGACTAAAGACGGCGATGCGATTCCGTACGCCGTAGTCCGCGCCGCGTGGTCCGCTTTACGCGAGCAGCACAGATTAGATCGCAGCGACCGGAGCGACCGCAGCGAAGCGAGTGGTAACAGAAGGGCGGTTCAGATTTCGCCGAGCGACAGCTGCGAGACGAGCGAAGTAAGCGAATCAGATGCAAGGGAGGAAGCATCAGGCGTTAGTTCTATACGCGACACCGCCATTAGCGGCAACACAAGCAACAGAAACACTGCGAGGAGCGAAATCGCGAGCAGCGGCACTGCAAGCAGCGACAAGCGCTCTGATTGGCTTCTGCACGAGGTGCTGCAGGGGTGCCACGTGTTGCTGCCTGCTCCACCCGAGCCTCCAAAGAAGGTACGGCCCGGACGTACAAGCTTGGCTCGGATTGAGAATTCAAAGCTGGTTGTTGTTCCTTCTCTTTTCATTTCTCCCGCTTTGGATCCACATGGACCTTTTTGTCTTTTTTCTTTTTTCTTTTTGTCTTGTGTATTTCTCAATCAAGCTTTTCCTCTCTCCCCTTTCTTCGGTCTCCTACCTCTCATCCTGCAGAGTGCGGATATAGAAGCTCGTCTGGCGGAGTTAACGGAAGCCAGGGAGCAGAGGCGCTACAGGGAGCTGGCGTGAGTCGTTCCTGAAGGCTGTCCATTAACTCTTCCCTCTCTCCGCTATCCTCTATTTCTCTCCTCACAGAGTGCGGAGCTGGAGTTAAGGGAAGCGGAGGAGCAGAGGCGCTACAGAGAGTTGGTGTGAGTCGTTTCTGAAGGATGTTAATCAAGTCTTCCCTCTCTCCCCTATCCTCTCTTTCTCTCCTCACAGAGTGCAGAGCTTGAAGCTCGCCTGGCGGAGTTAAGGGAGGCTGAGGAGCAGAGGCGCTACAGAGAGCTTTCAATCACCTCCTCCCTCTCTCCCCTCCCTTCGACATCCCCCTAGTTGCCCAACAGAGTGCGGAGCTTGAAGCTCGCCTGGCGGAGTTAAGGGAGGCTGAGGAGCAGAGGCGCTACAGAGAGCTTTCAATCACCTCCTCCCTCTCTCCCCTCCCTTCGACATCCCCCTTCTTGCCCAACAGAGTGCGGAGCTTGAAGCTCGCCTGGCGGATCTAAGGGAAGCGGAGGAGCAGAGGCGGTATAGAGAGCTCGTGAGGGACGTGGTTCCCAAGGGAGCAAAAGGGAGAGGGGTAACTGGTGCTGGTGGTGGTGATGATGAGGAGGATTTAGGAGGGCAGGGGGGGAGCTCGTACCTGGCATCGTACAGGGAGCAGTTAGGATTTGGTGAGTGCGTCTTTTTTTCTCGTATGTTACACCCAATAATTCGTCACTCAGTGGTGGTGCTGGTGGTGGTCGTGGTGTTGATGATGAGGATGATTATGGAGGGCAAGGAGGAAGCTTGTACTTGGCATCGTACAGAGAGCAGCTGGGGTTCGGTAGGTTGTTTTTTTTTCTTTCTTTCTTTTTTTCTTTTTCCAGATTGTTTATTTGTCGGTGGCTATGAAGCGGCACATTTATTGCTTGCCACTGCTGCCGTTGACTGGCAGTTTTGGTAAAAAAAGAGGTTCATGATGATTTTTCAGCCGCCTCAAAATCCACTATTTGCCACTGTCACGGTCTGCCAGCTCTGCTGAGATGAGACTTGAGTTTTGTGGTTTTAGTGGGCTATTTTTGAGTCGCCTAAACGATTGCGTTTCGTGACATCCTTTCTTCGCTTTTTGTGAGATAATCAATTTCTGTCGTTTTTCCTCATCCCCATGCCGAGCAGCTTTCCCTTAGATCCCTCCCTGCATGCACACCTCCTTTCTGTTTTGACTTCATCCCATCCCGAGCAGGCATGCATGTGGTGGGTGTGATGTTCACCTGTTACCTCTTGGGTCACTACGCTGCTTCTGCTCTCATCAAAGACCAACCTGCCCTGGTAAGATCCACTGGCTAGTAAGCTGCACTGGTGAGCTCTACTGCTACACATGCTACACTCCCCTGGTACCTACCTGTTACCCCTTGGGTCACTTCGCTCCTTCTGCTCTTATTAAAAACCAACCTGCGCTGGTGAGCCCACTAGTAACCTCCCTTGGTTAGCTCTCGTGATTTGGGTAAATGCTGTGGGCTATGGCAGTCAGGACCATCAGATTTATCGAGTCAATCCTTCCTCAGTGATAATGGGTATGATTTCATCAGGTTCTTTGAGTGTTCTTCAAGTGTTCTGGGTCTTTTCAACCAAAGTGTTCTTTCCCCCTCCCCATGTGGTAGCATGTGGTAAGAGGTGCAATAGAGTTTGGTTTTTTTACCAAAGCTTGTTTACCAACACCCCGACTCAACCTCCTTGTTTCCTGCAACTTGCGTCCCTATTCCCCTCACACGTGACAGCACCCAGTGGGAGGTGCAGTGGGTTTGATATTCGGCATGCTGCTAGAAACCACTCTCTTCATCATCCGTACAACTCAGCTTGAGGAGAAACAAGCAAGGCAACGCAGCAAAAAGGCCGCTAGGAAGCAGGGAGTGTCAGTACCACCACTAACTGCAGGGCTGGCACGGACCAAGACAGCAGATAAGAGCGCTAGTGATGTTTCTGTGGGTTCTGAGGAGTTGGATGCGGTGCGGCACGAGCTGATTGAACTGGCAGGGAGACGGCAGAAAGGAGCTGGTGTGCCAGGTTCCTCAGGGGGATCTATGATGAGGCGGCGGAATGTGAGGCAATCTGATGGTGACTAGTTTTGATTGTGAGGCATCTTTTTGAGGCACAAAAAAAGTTGTACGGTACTTGGAGGCGCTCTTGAAGGTCCATGATGAGAAGCCGGAATGTGAGGCATTCTATTGTGCCTAGATTGGCAGGATGCATTGCTTGGTTCACCTCGGATTCCAATTGTTGTTTCTTCCCAAAATTTCAGTCAGTATGATTTCTTCTTCCTCTTACTGGCCATGCGAAAGAGTAAGGGGCATTTGTTCAAGCTTGCATGGAGCCAGCTCAGATTCCCAAGCACTCGGCCCATACCCTGCACCGCCACATGACTTGGCAAAGGAAACGGGGAATACGCTGAATTAGCAAGGAATAGTCCACTTTGGAGGGCAAGCCACGGCGAACACATCCGCTCCAGCAATCCGCCTATGTGCAAACAATTGATATACATGACTTGAAGCTAACTGCTCCTACCGAGCACGCGACAAATGCTGCGACTCAGCGAAATAGCTTAATCCTCATAAATCCTGCACTCGTCAGCAGCGGGGTTGTCGTCGCAGAACGCGTCAAGAGGGTCCGTGTAGGCTTCCTTCTTCTCCTCGGTCTTGTCAGCAGCAGCAGCAGCGGCAGCCTCCTCTGCCTTGGCCTTCTCCTCCGCAGCCTTCTTCTCCTCAGCCTCCTTGGCCTCAGGCTGAGCCATGGCCACAATGCGGACAGCACGGACGCTGCGGACAGAGAGGGAGGAGGACTTCAGGGAGGCGGTCTGGACGAAAGAGCTGCGCCTGAAGGCAACAGCGGAGGAAACACCGGCGGAGACCGCAAGCACGGCAGCCATTGCTACAATAGTTGCTAAAATACGGTCTCCTGTCGGTCTTTAGAGCAAGATTGGATGAGACACCCTAGAATACGCGTGACCAGACAAGAAATTAGAATGCGTCTTGCCTTGGAACACCAATGTCTCTGATTGGAATGGAGGAGTACAGTGCTCAACCAAACATTGACGGACAAGCTGACGGAGCTCCTGAAAAACGGACGGAATTGCTGACGGTTTAGTTGTGCTGAAGCTGGTCTCGAGCGCTGCACCTTCGGTGCTTGACGACGGTACACGTGGTGGATATTGCCACGCTCAAAAAGCAGAGGGCACGGGCACCTCTAGGATTATTCGATCTGACACGTGGAATAGACTGGGGCCAAGAATGTCGGGAAAGATGGCCAGGCCGAGGTAGAATTGCCACGCTGGCGAGGTAGAAGTTGATCCAATCCAGGTCATCTGCTGAAACATTTTCCAGCACTGCGAGTTCCATGACGTAGATATCGTCCGGTGCTTTACATTTTCGAGAGGATAAAAAAGATTTAACGACACTGAAACCAAGGCACCAGTGCCATTCGCGGTGTAACATATCCCATTACAGAAACATTCAATTCACAGAATGTATAGACGACACACATTCATTCCCTCATTGCAATTACTGCTTGAAGCATTGTGAACCAATTTCACCTGTCATCAGGAATTACATACGTGTTGTGCACCACGACATGAGATTAAAATCTTTCTGCACTTGACTTCCATCCTAAGTACATTGACGCCAGGGGTGGTGGTGGTTGGTATGTTCATTCAGTGCAAGTTTTTTGCTTCATTTCAGCTGCTGAGAGACAACAAAAGACCTTCCATTTCTTCATGCATAGCATACTATGCTGCTTCCCCAACATACCACACAGCACCATCCTGTTACCATATGAAACCGCAACAACTGGTGTGTTCAGCAAGAGGACATGGCCTTCACTACCACAGTGAACTGGCCTGCAAGGTCAAATCAGAAGTTATTCATGGACAGCAAAACAAACAGGCATAGCTCAGCCCTTGCCGAGTAAGATCCGTCTATGGACATCGTGGCTAGGCTAATCTGACTGACTAAGGAACCCCACTAGTGTACCAGTGAATCGCTCAGTCAGAGTAAATCCTGCACTCATCCTCAGAGGGATTCTCGTTGCAGTACTTCTCGAGCGGATCCTCATAATCCGCTTGCTTCTGCTTCAAAGCCTGATCAGCAGCGGCTGCTGAGATCTCCTCCACCTCATCCCACGCAGCAGCGCACTCAGCGGTGGAGTTCGGATCGGAGCAGGTTTCTTGAGCAGCAGCGATCTTCTCCTGAATTTCCTTCTTCAGATCAGGCTGGGCCATAGCCACGATGCGGACGGCACGGGTGCTGCGAACATTGATGGGCTTCACAGACGACTTCAGAGAAGAAGTCTGGACGAACGAGCTCGAGAGAGTGGCAGCAGCCGAAGCAGAGACCCACGCGAGAGCAGCCATGATAAACTATGACGGGTTGATGCGAAAACCGAGTCGATCTAATGGCGGGATTAGGACGGAAAAGCTGCGAGCTAATCTTGCCTGCGTGAACTGCTAAAGAGTCTTCAAGTTTTACGGAAATATGAACTGTTCCCAATCTGAATGCCCCTCTCGCAACACGAGGTAGGCGGAAAGATCTCCCCACTTCCTTGCGCCAGCCATCCGCGGCAACAGTGGTGTTTGGATGTTCGAGAGTGGTTCTGGATGGTGAACAGCATTTACGAGGGTTGGAGGGGGGTTTCCAAACCGCCCAGCGGTGAGCTGTCCCGCAAGGTGACAGCTCCCCCCGTGTTGCGCCGCCAACACGAGAATGAGCTGGAAGGCCTGGGAGGATACGGGGAAGCAACGCGCCAAGGCCCAAGAAGTGGGACAGCGAAGCAGCGCAAGGTTGTTCCGTTAGACGTATGCCTCGTTTGGGACAAGTGAAATGTGTCAAATTACAGCATGCACGTCACTGTGGCTGTTCAATTGCAAAATGACATTCGATCCCAATTGCAGACATGGTCATTGATTCTGTTGGCTATTTTGAAAATCACAAAAAGCCAACCCACAAACGCCTGTACATTAGTATAGAGCCATGCCTATTTACATGCAACAGCACCTGTAGATCATGCAAACAAACAAAAGGTTCAGGGTTTAGAATTCTCATTTGATCTTAAAGCATATGCACCCACACCTGCTTATGATGGCCCTCATCACCAGCACCAGTATCCACATCATCCAAGCCAGCATCCACCATACCATCACCTCCATCTCCTCCCTTCCTCCCGCTTCCATCCCCCTTCCCTTCACCCAAAACCAACGCCTCATCCCCACTTATCCCCCCACCCCCACCACCCCCAAAGCCAAATCCACTACCGAGCCCACTCCCTAACCCAAATCCCCCAACCCAACTCCCCCCACCTATCCACTCCCCATCTCCATTATACCTCCTCACATACTCCTCTCCCCCCACCTCTCCTCCCTTAAACCCTGCCAAATACACATCGCCTACTGATGATCCCCCATACAGCTGCTGCTGCCCCTCCCACTCCTCCTCCCTGCTCCTCCAACTGCTGTACCCCATACAAGCCAGGTATGATACAAGGCACAGGAGCGTGAGAGAGAGGAGGACAAGCAGAGCTATGGTATAGCCCGGCATGGATGATCCAGTCGAAGGGCTCATGCTGCTGCCACCAGTATTACCACTACTGCTGCTGCTTTCACTGCTACTACTGCTGGTGTCGCCTGCTGTTTCAGCTTGGCTCTTCACTCCAAAGTCCCCGATCTCACCACTGACCTGATTCAGCGCATCGAATGCAGCAGGGGCAGAGTAATCATCTGCCTCCTTCACCCCTCCTGCACTGCCATTACCAGCACCACCACCGCCACCACCACTGCCACCACCACTGCCACCACTACTACCACCAGCACCAGCAGCACCGGGCAGGGGACCTGGGCGGGAGATTTGGGAGAGGTCGAGAGTAAACCGATCCACATGCCGCTCCTCCCAGCGTGCCTTTTCCTGCCACGTCACTCCCTCCAGATTCACAATGCTGTAGGTCGGTGGGGACACAGACTTCAATCGCTCGCCTGTAGCTGGGTTGAAGGATACCTGGTGGTGGTGGGGTGGATGGGAACAGTGAAAGTACAATGCGGTTGGTCCCTTGAAGAAGGGGCTACAGACTTGAGCCGCTCACCTGTAGCTGGGTCATTCCCATGAAGTTAGTGCATCCCTGTGGAACGCATCTAAACCCAGCTACAGCTACTGTGCTGCCCTTTGCACCTGCCCTGTAGTTCCTGTGAAGTTGATGCATCCCCTTTTGAGTCGACTCAAAAGTCACCTCACCTGCCCTGTAGTTAGTGCATCCCTGTGGAACGCATCTAAACCATTGCCCTTCTCACCTGCCCTGTTGTTCCTGTGAAGTTGATGCATCCCCGCGGCACGCCTTTAAAGCACGCCAGCACAAGCTCTTTGGTGGGTGCTGCATCTGCAGATTGGAGACACACACCAAAACATTGGAGTTTGAAACACACACGTGGAAACACAAAGTACAACGTTGGGCTTTGAAACGTCTCGAAACACCAATAGAGCACGCCAGCACAAGCTCCTTGGTGGGTGCTGCATCTGCGAATTGGAGGCACACAAAGACGGAAACAATATTGGAGACACTTTTGAGAACTCTCAGAAGCGATAAGACTTCGACTTTTGTGTCGACTCAAAAGTCAACTCAATATTGGAGACACTTTCGAGTCGACTCAAAAGTCATCCAGCGATACAAGCAAAGAACAGCATCAAAGAGGTTTGGTACGCTTTGGAGGGTGGAGTTGAACCGGGGGAGTGAAGGGGGAACCAGAACCCAAGGTCTGGACAGGTGTAAGAGGAGTGTAAGACAAGTGTAAGAGGAGTGTAAGAGGAGTGAATGGTAGCAGTAGCCCCACTAGCTGAGGCACTCACTCTGCGATAATGCTGCTGAAGGCTTCGAAAAAGGAATGAACGGCGTCCAAGGGGTACGGCACGTATTGCCGGGTGTGTCGAAGCGGGGGAGAGCGTGGGGGTAGTGACTCTTTCACTGGAAGGTGCACCACCCACCGAGGAACTCACTCTGGTTGGCGAGAATGCTGCTGAAAGCCTTGGAGAAGGTGTGAACGGCGTCGAAATGGTACAGCACGTATTGGCGGGTGGTGTTGAAGTGGGGGAGTGAATGGGGGAAACCAGGACCCGAGACCTAAAAGTATGGAGCTGACTTCAGCCGAGGCACTAACTCTGGTTGGCAATGATGCCGATGAACGCTTCGAAGAAAGAATGAACGGCGTTGAAGTGGTACGGCACGTATTGGCGGGAGGTGTTGAAGTGGTGCGGCACGTATTGGCGGGAGGTGTTGAAGTGAGGGAGGGGGAGGGGGAGGGGGAGGGGGAGGGGGAGGGGGAGGGGGAGAGGAGTGAGGGGAGTGAGGGGGAGGAAGGTGGGGGGAGGAAGAGTGGTACCCACCCACCAAGTTACTCACTCTGGTTGGCGATAATGGTGCTGAAGGCTTCAAAAGAGGAGAAGGGAACGGGACCCTGGGCAAGCAGGCACTCACTCTGGCTGGCGATAATGCTGCTGAAGGCCTCGAAAAAGGAGTGAACGGCGTCAAAGAGGTACGGCACGTATTGGGGGGAGATGTTGAAGTGGGGGAGGGAGAGAGGGAGGGAGGGACCCAAGTCACCCCCACACAACAGACCCACAGAACCACTCACTCTGGTTGGAAATAATGCTGCTGAAGGCCTCGAAGAAGGCGTGAACGGCGTCAAACAGGTACGGCACGTATTGGCGGGTGGTGTTGAATCGGGGGAGTGAAGGCCCGACGTCTAGAGTGAGCAAGCCAGGGTAGATGTCATGGCGCTTGGTGCGCCAGTGCATTATATATTCCCATATGGGAGAGGAATCCGAATAGTCTCCCTCTGTTGAAAGGTGGGTGCAGGATGCGAGCAAGTCGGGGAGGAGAGGAGGGAAGGGGCGAATGAGCAAGGCCCGACATGGAGAGTGAGCAAGCCGGGGTAGATGTCATGGCGCTTGGTCTCCCTCTGATGAAATGAGAGCGCTTGGCGCTTGGGTTGGGAGAAAGGAAGAGGAGGGAAGGACGGGGCGAATGAGCAGGGCCCGATGTCCAGAGTGAGCAAGCCCGGGTAGATGTCATGGCGCTTGGTCCGCCAGTGCATCATATACTCCCATATCGGGGAGGAGTCCGGGTAGTCTCCCTCTGAACAATGGCAAAGGTGGGGAAAAGGGCAAAAGGGAGCGGGCTATGAGGCAGGATTGATGGCTAGAGTGAGCAGGCCGGGGTAGATGTCATGCCGCTTGGTCCGCCAGTGCGTTATGTACTCCCATATGGGGGACGAGTCCGAGTAGTCTTCCTCTGAAAAATGGGGTGGTTGAGGGGATAGAGAAAGGTGGGGCCAGGGTTAGGAGGGGTAGATGTCATGCCGCTTGGTCCGCCAGTGCGTTATGTACTCCCATATGGGGGACGAGTCCGAGTAGTCTTCCTCTGAACAATGGGGTGGTTGAGGGGATAGAGAACGGTGGGGAGAGGGTTAGGAGGGGTAAATGTCATGCCGCTTGGTTTGCCAGTGCGTTATGTACTCCCATATGGGGGACGAGTCCGAGTAATCTCCCCCTGTAGGCGAGGGATCAAAAGGCAAAAGGGAAGTGGGGGATATGAGGCACGCCCGACGTGGAGATTGAGCAGAGCGGGGTCGTGCACCTGTTCGAGCAGATTGATGGAAATAAGGCCTCCGCAGCCCACCTGTTCGACTTCGACAGGCCCTGCCAGTGCGCTTTTGAGAATTCTCAAAAGCAGAGCGGGGTGATGCACTAGCCCTGCCAGTGCGTTATGTACTCCCATCCCATGTAGGGGACGAACGAGCCCTTATAACACCCCCTGGAGGGGAGGGAGGGGGGATCGACAAGGCAAAAGGGAAACGGGGGATCTGAGACAGGCCTCATACAATACAAGTGCAAGTTTGTGATAAGTCGGTTTTGAGTCGACGCATACAATACAATACAATACAATACAATACAATACAATACAATACAATACAATACAATACAATACAATACAATACAATACAATACAATACAATACAATACAATACAATACAATACAATACAATACAATACAATACAATACAACACAATACAATACTCACGGATCTGAGGCAGGCCTCATACAATTCCTTGGTAGCTGCACTTACTGTAAGGAGCTACTCCCATCTCCCCTTGCAGTGCTGACGCCAAGGCTGACAGGTTCTGACCTGGAGGGGTGGTCGGGCGGTTGAAATCAGACAGGGATTCCGGTTTAGGGCTTGGTATTTGAGTAAGTTCCGGGACTGAGGAAAATGAGTAACTTTCGAGAGGCACTATTGAAATTTCTCGAAAATGACTTCAATATAGCTGGTCGGGAGGTCGGGAAACAGGCAGGAAAGGTGAGGAGAATGTGCAGAAAAGGGAGAAGATTCTTGAGGTGCTTCAAAAACAGAATGAGCAGGAGAAAGGCGAAAATTTGGGCAGGAGAAAAGGGTACATATACAGGCGACTTTTGAGACGTCTCAAAATTTGGGCAGGAGAAAAGGGTACATATACAGGCGCCTCATGCATCAAATAAGCAGCAGAGGGACGTCAACAGGACGAGGCGGGCATGCCAAGTCTTCAGATCCCCCCTTCCCCAGACCCCCCCTTTCCAGAATCCCCCTGCCCAGACCCCCCTTCCCCAGCAGACCCCCTTCCCGAGCAGACCCCCTTCCCCAGACCTCTCGTCTTACCTTCCCCCACAAGATCGAAAGCTACAGCTCCATCTGTCCCAAAATACCACCAAGGGTATTCTAACAGACCCTGGCGGTTTCCGCAGGGAGGGAAGGGAAGAAGGGAAACCCTGGTAAATGAGTGAGGGGCCTGGGGGGGCCTGGAGAGGCATGGGGGGGCGGGGAGGGGCGGGGAAGGGGATATCACTTACCAGCTCTAGAACCATGGAGTCATTGCTTGGAGGAACAGCTTGGAGGAACAGCTTGGATGAACAGCTTGGATGAACAGCTTGGATGAACAGCTTGGATGAACAGCTTGGATGAACAGCTTGGATGAACAGCTTGGATGAACAGCTTGGATGAACAGCTTGGATGAACAGCTTGGATGAACAGCTTGGATGAACAGCTTGGATGAACAGCTTGGATGAACAGCTTGGATGAACAGCTTGGATGAACAGCTTGGATGAACAGCTTGGATGAACAGCTTGGATGAACAGCTTGGATGAACAGCTTGGATGAACAGCTTGGATGAACAGCTTGGATGAACAGCTTGGATGAACAGCTTGGATGAACAGCTTGGAGGGGCGAATTTCATGGAGGATTCTAAGCAACACCGCTCTCTACTCACACTATCCAAAGCGGCCCGCAATATGCCCTCAGCTGCGTTGGGTGAGACAGCGAGGACCACAAATGTGGAGTCGTCGGCTTGAATGAGCAGCCTGGACGGGAGAGTTTCACAGAGGTTTCTCATCAACACCACTCTCCACTCACCAGGTCTAGAGTGGCCCGCCAAATGCCCTCGGCTGCATTGGGTGAGATGGCAAGCATCACCACTGTGGAGTCATCGGCTTGAATGACCGGCTTGGAGGGGCTTGGATCGGCGAGGTTGAGGAAGAGAGAGGAGTAGTTGGAGGGGTTGGGAGGGGCGGGAAGCGGATTGGAGAGACCAGATCACTCACCAGCTCTAGGGCCGCCCGCCAAATTCCTTCTGCCGCATTGGGTGAGACGGCAAGTACCACCACTGTGGAGTCATCGGCTTGAATGAACGGCTTGGTGGGGCTTGGATCGGTGAGGTTGAGGAAGAGAGAGGAGTAGTTGAGGCAGGGCACTGGGACGGGTATGCTGTGGACTGTCAGCTTGTCATTGCGAGCGAAATACTGGAGGGGGTGGGGAGGGGGGATGAGGAGAGAAGAGGTCAGAGGCGAAAGGTGGTGACGTGGGGCATCAAACACAGAGAGGAGTGAGTAGTTGAGGCAGGGCACTGGGACGGGTATGCTGTGTAATGTCAGATTGTCCTTCCGCTCTCTCCGTGAGGAACAGAATAATTTGTGCAAATCCCAAGGTGCATGATTTGTAAAACAGAATGGTTTGTGGAACAGAATGGTTTGTGGAACAGAACGCTTTTCGCTTCCGCTCAGATTTTTGAGAATTCTCAAAAATCAGCTCCCCCAAGGTACATGTTGAAAAGCCGAGGTGACTATTGAGTTGCCTCAAAAGTCACCTCCGATTGTCCTTCCGCTTCCTCCGTGAGAAACATTCCTCCTCAGAATGATTTGACTTTTGAGAATTCTCAAAAGTGATTTGAGCAAACCCCAAGGTACATGTTGAAAAGCCTCGTTGCACCGAGGAGATCATCTCGTGCCGAGATTCGTAAAAAATCTCACCTCAATGTCATAGCTGAGCGCTGAGCCATGTGTGTCCTCTGTGAGGAGCACACGTAGTCATGCACACATACTCGTATGCATGCCTGCATGCCTATGCACATTCAGACATCTCACCTCAATGTCATAGCCGAGCGCTGAGCCATATGTGTCCTCTGTGAAGAACAGGATAACTCGATCAAACACAAACTCTTGAAGCAGAGAGCGCATGGCCGCTGCCTGGTGCCTGTCGCCGAACCTGTGGGGATGATGGGGATGGTGGGGATGAGAGCAAGGAGGCAAGAAGGGAACGGGATGACTGGATCAAACACAAACTCCTACAGCAGAGAGCGCATGGCCGCTGCCTGGTGCCTGTCACCAAATCTGTTGGGAGGGTGAGATGGGGCCAACAAGACAAGAACGCAGATTCCTTTTTCGAATGGAAAAGAGGACGACTTGATCAAACACAGACCCTTGCAGAAACAAGCACATGGCTGCTGCTTGGTGCCTGTCACCAAAGCTGTGGGGAGGGAGGGGGGAGAGAGGCGAGGAGAAGTGGAAGCAAGTGTTTGAGCACAGCAGAGGGCGCATGGCTGCTGCTTGGTGCCTGTCACTAAAGCTGTGGGGAGGGTGAGGGTGGTGGGGATGGTGGGGAGATGGCGGGGAGATGGTGGGGAGATGGCGGGGAGATGGTGGAGATGGTGGGGATGGTGGGGATGGTGGGGGAACGGGACGCAGGAACGCCAGCAGGCATCAGCACGTCTGCTGCTTCCAACACTCCCCCCCCCCCCCCCCCCCCAATGCTGCCCCTTGAATCTACAAAACCCATCTCAACTCAACCCAACAGATTCCTACCTAAACCCTACCTTGACTCCCACAGAAACCCCTGCACTCACACAGTTCGGAAGAAGGAGCCGAATCCCTCCCTGTCCCGAAATCCAAGCGAACGACATGATGGGAGCACCAGCAGGCATGAGCACGTCTGCTGTTTTGAGTCGACTCAAAACTTGATTTATCACACACGACACGAAGGGAACACCAGCAGGCATCAGGGCAGGTAGGCACGAGCACGTCTGCTGCTCCCAGTGCTACCCGTTAAAGTATCTCAACCCAGCTCGTCCCTGCCTAACCCAGTTCAACCGAAGTCAATCAACTTCATATCCCCATTGACTCACACAGTACGGAAGAAGGATCCGAATCTCTCTCTGTCCCGAAACCCATCCCACGTGGCAGCAAAGGAGACGATGGGAACGCCAGCAGGCACGAGCACGTCTGCTGCTCCCAGCGCTGCCTCTGTGCACGCTGGGCCCACCACACCCACCACTCCGTCTCGTAGCAACAACTGGAAGGGCGACAGGCAGAAATGGTGGAGAGGGGCGGGGAGGGGTGGAGAGGGGTGGAGAGGTGCAAGGGGAGATGGGAACACCTGCAGGCACCAGCACGTCTGCTGCTCCCAGCGCTGCCTCTGTGCACGCTGGGCCCACCACACCCACCACTCCGTCTTGTAGCAACAGCTGTGAGGGGGACAGGCCACACAGAGACAGGCAGGGACAGGGACAGGCGTGCAGAGGGGCAGAGAGGGTTGGAGAGGGGCAGAGAAACACCATTGGAACACCAGCAGGCACCAGCACGTCTGCTGCTCCCAGCGCTGCCACTGTGCACGCTGGGCCCATCACGCCCACCACCCCGTCCCTTAGTAGCAGCTGCAATGGGAAAGAGGGATCCACATGCAAAGACAGGGTGGGAACGCTGTAATCTAGCTCTCTGCTGCTCCCAGCCTTGCCTCTGTGCACGCTGGGCCCATCACGCCCACCACCCCTTCCCTTTACAGAAGAAACACCAGAGACATCTGGACTCTTTGCCTTCTCCTATACTGCCCCTCCCCTCACCTGATTCTGAGTCGACTCAAAAACAGACTCACTACCCCTTCCCTTTACAGAAGATGGAATTTCAGAGACATTGGAATTTCAGAGACATTGGAATTTCAGAGACATTGGAATTTCAGAGACATTGGAATTTCAGAGACATTGGAATTTCAGAGACATCTGGTCTGGACCCTCTGCCTCTCCAATACTGCCCATTTCTCACCTGCGCTGCCTCCTTCGCCTCTTCCCGATCGCAGTTTGAGTTGGCAATGTGTGGCACCACGTCAAAGGCGTCAGAGTATTTGGGCCCTAGAACTTCCAGAGCCACTCTTGAGGCTGCGATCCTGAACAAGTGGGGTGATAGGAGTGGGTATATATGCAGTTGCGAATCGACCGTGAACGAGGCGCGAACCATAAATCAGCGAGGCGCACGGGAATGACGTGGTCAGCTTTCAGGATACAGCATCAAATCGTTTCTTTGACGAATATTGAGCAAAGCAAATAAACCGAGGAATGAGGCGGTTTTGGGGGAGGCGCGTACCATTCGTCAGCGAGGCGCACGGGAATGACGTGGTCGGCTTTAGGGTAGGGCAGCAGAAACCCGAGCTTCACCACCTGCCGAACCGGACCAGCAGCTTCGGCTTCTAGGCTCGGCGAGAGCAAGCAGAGCAAAGCGATGACGAGCAACAGACGGAGCACATGCGACCGTATCGAACTGCACATGTGTGACTGTAGACGGATGTGATTATACGAGTGTGCTGCGGGGAACCTTTCCAATTGCCGCCGAGTGTCAGCCATTGTGGGATCAAGAGGGTGGGTATTCTAAATGTCGCGAAGACCAGCAGGTCAGGTAACCAATGGAAACAGGCGACAGGCGAAGTCGCCGAGGCTTTTCACGACCCTTATTTCTCAGTAGAAACAAGTGTCGTGGGATATTCTCACTCCGAGTGACGCACAAAGGAGTATGTCGCACCCTTCGTTTTGGCTGACTGTTTTGGCTGAATTTTCCGTCTGACCGTTTTGGCTGACTTTCTGACGTTTCGTTTCTCAGTAAAGACAAGCACCCTGAGATGATCGCATTATATTTCTGAGGCGCTTCAGAAACGTATTCCTGGTTCTTCGTTTCTCAGTAGGGACAAGTTCAATGAATGGATCGCACTTTATCGTTTCACAACCTGCGGACTACTCCGTTTCGGCGGCTTTTCTGGCAACTCGTCTATAACTTGCTGGGACGTAAAAGGGCCTCGATTGATGTACAGAGTAAATGTTGCCAGTACTTGAGGCGCCAGACGGTGTTTCCTATCGTTGGCAACGGTTTCGTCAGGTCAAACTACCACTGCACTATCTCGAAATTAGTGAGGCAGAAAGAGCGACAGACAGTTTAGGAGATAACAGAAAGATGAAGAAGAAGGCTCTCAGCAAACCGGAGGCAAGCGGCCAAAGCTGGATAGGTAAGCTACAGCATATACGCTGTCGAGCTCCGCAACTCAAAGAAACAAGTTCTGTCAGTCAGCTTTTTAAAGGTGACAGAGTAAGGAGCAGGATACTACAACGAACGTTCACTTCAGACAAACTATGTAACAAGCTTTCAGCCACGCAGAACAGCAGCAATCCTATTTCAATCCACACTTCAAGCAGATTCCCAGCGGGAGTGTCGAGTGTTAATTTCCTGGTCGTCCAGTACGGTTCAGTACGTTTCCACACGGTAATAACAAGGATTTGAGGTTTACCGCTCTCAAACGCACCAAACCGTGTATGAAAACTGCTGGACCCGCCATGGAAAAGCCTCGAGGGAGAGATTTTTCTATCCTTTTTTCGAAATTTGAACTTGGAATACTCCCCGTCAGCGTCGAAGCCACACAGCACTGATGGTGTGTTGGCGCAATGTCGAATCGCGATAACGACTGAACGACTTGGACAGGCGTCGCATCCACTAGGAAGCGTCTTTTTGCGCGAGGCTGTCGGTGGCGAAGCTTGACGCGGTGATTGCGATAGGCCACTATTGGCTGGAAATATGTCACCGCAGTCATTTGGGAGGGGGCGATGCGAAGGTGCAAGCACCTGGGTGTGGTTTGGAAGCTTGGTACAGTGGTGCCCGGAAAAAGATAGCAGAATATCTTCAGCAACATTAATTATTAGCAATGAATACGGCACCAACACTTACTGTAATTAACCACCATGTTTGAGCAGAGAACAAAATACAGCAGAAAGCCTCTGCCTGATGTTACTATTCATAGACAACAGGATCAATTGGAAGGGTCCTGGATTTTCTAATCCAGCCTCCCCATCCCTTGCTCTCCCGCTCCTCTCCAAACCCCAAACCATCCTCACAATGTTGCTGCTGATCCTCCCCAGTTCTACCGTATCTAACCATACGATTACCTTCTTGCCTTGAGAAACTCTGCTGATCATCCAGATGGTCCTGGTCGCTGCTGCCCCAAAGACCACACGTCTCCAAACCGTACTCCACCGCTGAGTATCTACTAGCAGACCGCGCAGTCATGCTCCGACTTTTAATAGGAAGACCAAATTCCAACTCTTCGTCCTCATCCTCCATATAGGCATGCGGGAAGGGTTTCCGAAAGCCAGGAAATCCTGCCCTTCTGCGTGCGTCTCCGAAGCCACGCTCTCGCCTCTGCTCCAGGCCCCTTGCTGCTACGACCTCCTCCTTCCCCCTCCACCCCTCCATGCCCGTTCCACCGAAACCCTGAAACAGCCCTTCATTCTCCTCCGAATATCCCGCCCCCTCCTCACCCACATCATCGCACTCAATTTCTCGACGGAACTCAGCACTCGGTCTTCTCCGAATTGCGGCACTGTGCATCGAAAAAATAGCATCTAGGTTAATATCTGCAGCGGCCGCTGCTGCTGCAGCTGACCCTACTGGAGCAGAAGGAACCAGCCCTTTGCCGCTGCTGCAGCTGCTGCTGCTAGCTCCACTAATTGTATCAATGCTCCTAATGTTGCTGCTACTGCCCCTGTTACTGCCGCTGTTGTTGATGCCCATGCTCCCGCTGCTACTGGCAACACTGAAGCTGCCACTGCTGCCACCAATGCCGATACTGCCGCTGCTGGTATTGCCGATGCCGATGCTTCCGCTGCTGCTGCCACTGGTGGCACTGCTTCTGACCCAAGAGCAGCTCCGACTGCCAAGGGGGTCTGTCAGCATTCCTCTCTCTGCCGCTCCAACCAACTTCTCGCTCCGACCTACTGTGAAGCTGCGACTCCCACCCACACCTCCCCACTCCCCCACAGACCTCCGCACACCTCCCCGCTCCTCCACAGACCCCTCCACGCCCCCCCAATCTCCTACAGACTCCTCCACACCTCCCCATCCCCTTCTTTGCATATCCTCAGCAATTCTCTCTCTCCGCTCCTCCTCTCTCCTCTCTGCTTCCCAAAGCAGGTCACTCGATCTATCGCGAGCCGCTGGGGTGTCAAGCTCTCCCTCTCCCCCTCCTCCTCCCCCTCCTCCTCCCCCTCCTCCTCCCCCTCCTCCTCCCCCTCCTCCTCCCCCTCCTCCTCCCCCTCCTCCTCCCCCTCCTCCTCCTCCTCCTCCCCCTCCTCCTCCCCCTCCTCCCCCTCTTCCTACTTCCCCTCTTCCTCCCCTTCCAACTCCGTACCTTCTAACCCTCTCACACACACCCCCTTCGCTCAAATTCCCAACCTCACTCGCCCTAACCCCCTCCCTCCGAACCTTCCTACCACTCCCCCTAGCCCCCTCACCCACTTCCCTTCCCACTCCACCCTCGGTACAAGAAGGACCGTTTCTATCAACAAACGCATGGCTGCTGCTCGGCCTTGTCCGTTCTGCAGGCAAAAGACTCGCCAGCCGCCCAGTGCTACCCGCCCCGTGGCTCATCCTGCCGCCCGAAGAGCCTTGGCGTTGCAGGGGAACGTAATAATCGGAAGAAGTTGGCGAGAGAACAATTTCAGTTTCCCCTCCAGTGCGGTGTTGACTCTGAAAATTCCCCAAATTTCGAGTGCTGTCCAGAGACCTCCTCCCCTTCACCAAACTACCAGCGCTCCTGTTTCTGTGCATTTGGCCGTCACTGTAATCACTGTAGTTTAGTTCACTATACTTACTATCACAGTGACTGTTTTCACTGTAGCTTGCACTGTACTCGTTACTGCAGCCAGCACCAGACGCGGACACGTCAGCACCGTTTCCCCCCGCACCACCACAAACACGCGCAGATTTTTGCGAACCGCTCCGGACTAAGGGCAACGTCTGCGCGGATCCTTGCGCCGATCTTTGCGCCGCAGCAGAGACCACTGGCGGAAACGACGGCAGCGCAGATCGCGGGTTGCTGCGCGTCCGCCGCAGCGCGTTCACGATTCCCATCGCTTCTTCGTCCGAGTCCACGTCGGACGGAATAGCCGCCGCCGCGTCCGCCGCAGCCTGCGCCGCGATTGCCGCCGCGATCCCCGACGGGCGGCGGGGGGACGCGGGTACAACGTCACGCTGACGTGGAGGTGGCGGGAGGTGACGAGGAGATGTAGGGAGGAAACGTGGGGACGAGGGCCAGTGACGTGGAGAAGCGGGTAAATGACGAGGTGAGACGGGGGCGTGCTGATCTAGCGATACGGGAAAGCAACGTGGCGAAGACGGGTTGTGACGTGGCGATATCGGGGGCTGCTGACGCGGGGAAAGAGGATCGTGACGAGGCGATGTGGGACAATAGCGAGGGGATGTTGGAACAACAGCCGCGGTTCGAACCGCCGCGGATCGAGCAATACTGGCGGCGGCGGGTCCAGTAGTACGACATGCGAGCGCGGAGGGCCGCGGGAAGGCGGAAAATGAAGGGGAGGAGGAAGCGGAAGAAGGGGAGGGGCCGGCGGAAGAGGAGGAAGAAGGGGAGACGAGAGCGAGTGAGGGGCGCGCAGAGGGAGTGGAGAGAGAGGTTGGGAATGCAGGGTAAGGGGACGCGGCGGACGGGGAAGCGGTGGACGGGGAATCAGCGGAAGGAGAAGCGGGAAAAGGCGGGAGAAGCGCGGAGGTATTGGCGGCGCGCTGCAGATCCGACGAGCTGCGCGATCGTTCGCTTATAGCCGCGGCCGTCCCGCGAATTGTGCGTGGCGAGAAACACGCTGGGGGGTGAGTTTGCGCTGATTTGGAGCTTATCTGCGCCGTTGCGCCGGTTACCGCATCGGCCGGCACGGTATGGGCGCTATCCGCGGCGCGGCTTCCGGATCTTAAAGCGCCTCGGCTTCCCGGAATCGACCCCTGCTTCTGAAGATCCCGCCGCTGCTGCTGTTGCAGCTGCTGGTGCTGCCGCGTCTGTGTCTGCTGCTGCCGCCTCGGCGTGGGCGGCATCCAATCGTCCGCATCGTCGATCCAACCGTCAGAATTACTCCACGTTCCGTCATGCGAAGGCGCGAGATCTTGACCGCCATCGTTGCGATTAACCCCCACGCCTCTGTGCGCGGAGGCTTCCGCAAAACCTTCCGCGGGCCCTTCCGCAAAAACTTCCGCGGACCCTTCCGCGCGGCTACGCGCGGGGATGCGCGGGGACTCCTCCACCGCGTAGCAGTGAAACCCGCCCGCCTGCGTGGGAGTTGCGCCACCCTCCTTCGCCTGCGCCAAGCGGGAGTTGCGCCGACCGTTTCCGCCAATCGCGCGGACGTTCTTCTCGTCGTTGTGGCTAAAGGCCTTCCGCAGCGCCCTCCGCGGGCCCGCAGGAGACGGCGGCGGAAGCGGCACGGTGTGGGAATGCGGTATAACGAGGCGCTGCGACAACTGCGACATCGACGGCGATCTGGACACAGTCGCACCAGTCGCACCAGTCGCAGAGGGGCTTGTTACCACCGTCGACGAGTGTTGCACTGCGACGCCGTGCGAGCCGCCAGTGTGGTCGAGCACTCCTTGTTCGCGAAAGTCATCGCGAATGTCAGAGTCGCGTTCGCAAAACATGTCCAGAAATTCTTCATCCGACGAATAAACCTCCGCCACATCATCCAGTCGAAGCGCGGTAACCTTGGCCACCACCGCTTCCCCCGCCGACTCGCCCGATCGGTGTGCGCGCACAGGCGGAGGCATTCCGCGGGGTTCCGCGCCCCCTCCGCGGGATCCCCGCAAAGCGCCACTCCCGCGGGCCCTTGGCGACGGAGCAACCATATCCCGCGGCGTTTCGCTCGGCGTGCTTTGAGGGCTCGCAAGCCCGAACGGGTCGGCAGGTTTTGCGGGGGAACAGGGGAAGGCGGAAGCGGCGGGGGAGCGCACGGCGCGGGAAAGAGTTGGGGGTGCGGAACACGGGGAGCTCGTCGGGGACCAGGGAACGGCGGAGCGGGGGGAGGCAGCGCACCGCCCGGCGGGGGAAAACCGCGCGGATCCGGGCGCGCAGGAGGGGGGGACGCGGCTTCCGCTGCTGCTGTTGCTTCCACTGCCGTCCCCGCAGCCATTGACGTTTCCGCGGCCGCTGGCGCTCCCGCTGGTGCTTCCGCTCCCGTTGATTGCGCTGTTGCCCGGAGGCGCGGGGAGCTGGAGTCGAGGCGGCCGAGCTCGACGCTGGGCTAGGGCCGACGGGGAGCGCGAGGAGGAAGCTTCGGATACGCGTGCGGATTGGCCAGTGCTACTTCCTGCGCCGATACTAGTAGAAGCTCGATCTTTGTTAACGAGGCTCCTGTTATCGAAGCTTGCACTATCGTGTCCGCTAGGCTGCCGGGAATCGTCAGGAGCGTGCCCGCGCGAGCTCTCTGCGTGCCCGCGCGAGCTCTCTGCGTGTCCGCGCGAACTCTCTCTATGTCCTCGCACCTCCATTCCGCACGGGGGGAGACGCGCGTGCGCGCCTGCCTGTCCCCGCGGAGAGAGCGCTTGAGGCAGAGACGGTGCATCCGCGTTAGCGAGTGAGTGAGAGCTGTTGCTTCTAACGAACGAAATCGGTTCTCTCGTGACTATAACCGGCGGCCTAGTCGCGCACGCGACTTCCGATTGGGGCATGTCTTTAAACTGGTACTGCGTCTACACGCGTCTCACGCGGATGGAATGTAATGTAAGCCAAGCAAGCGCGTCGGGTGTTTGTCCTTGAGCTCCAGCGTCAGCGTATTCCTAAAGCTTCTTCAGTTTCCTAAAGAGTTGCACGATGAAAAAAATAAGTTACGAGGTGGAGAGAGTCTGATAGCCGGTTGGGAGGGGGTTGGTGGGGAAGTCGAGAAGCTGGGAGGGCGAGAGGGGAGCGACGGGGAGGAGAGGTGGTTAGGGCGTGTAAGATCCCCGTGCATCACAATTCGGCCATCAAAATTTGGTGGCCGATGCGAAAGTAGCCCTAAGCATCGTACTGCAACGCGCTGAACCGCCTTGCAAGCGTTTCAAACACCATCGCGTTTCGCAACGGCCACCTAATTTTGATGGCCGAATGGTGATGCACGGGGATCTTACACGCCCTTAGGGAACTGGGATGAGGATGAGGCACGCTGGTTGGGATGGGCGAAGAGCGGCTAACGAAGGCCGAGAAGGGCGGCGAATGGTTAAGAGAGGCGAAGAGGGGTGAAGAGTGTAGAAAAAGCGAGGGATTTTTTTTTTTGTGAGGCAGACATGCTCCTGCCCTCGAAACATGGGCAGAAACATCACTCGCGCGCTGACAGGTCACGGGACAGGATGATTGCAGCAGCAGCCAGCCTGTCGAGTGGCGCAAAAGGAATGGAGGGCCGCTACCGCAAATGCCATGCGCGCGTGTTCGAGCAATGCTGCTGAGGCGAGAAGAGGCGACCATCTGGCGGCATAAGCCGACAACGAATGTACAGATATAAGAGGGATTAGTATGGTCTAGTGTTCTTTGATATGTGTTCTGAATGGTCTGCTGCGGTTTTGCGGTTAATACTTTAGTGTGAGGGACAAGCGAAAGATTTCCTAGACATCATGAGATGGGATGGGATGGGATCAGGCCCCGGGGTTCAGGGTGTTTTACCCTGATCATGTACTCCACTGCTACTGTATACCTGACTTCCTTGGATTCTGCGGTGCTTCCTACCCATCCAACATGTCATGCCACACGACAAGGTCCTGATTTTAGATGTCCCTGCCGTATGATGCCATGGTGCCACTCATCATCATGCGAGTGGACATGAATGGGTGGTGATTGAAAATCGGATCAAGACTCCGCGAACCAACATTTTGTTCTACCTGATGCCCCCATCTCCTTTGGAGCTGCCCTAAAATGGAAGAGTCCGCCGCGCAGCACCCCTGTGTCCTTGGAATCTTGGGCGCTGCAGCCATCAGCGTGACTCCATCCCCAGCAACCGATCACGGCCGGCCACAGATCACTGCGACAACGATTACACCCTTCACGGGCAGCTGGCAGCGAAAATACACATGTTGGTCCCGTCCCGACACATAAGCGAGCGGGCCCGCTGCACCATTTGGACATCTTTGGAACAGAAAATCAAATCTTTTCACTTCATCGAACCGGACAACGGAACGACACGGTCTACAGTAAACAAGACGCCATGGCAGTCGACGTGATACTGTGAACCCTGAATTTTCGCTATTGTGGATTTTGGTATGCTCCACGATGGGGGCAGCTGGCTGTTCAATGATGCTACCAAGATAGTATACCCAGTTTAATGTTGGACATTGTAATGATATATTTTTAGTGCAATGCTGAATTTTACGAAGAAAAACATCAAATATGGAAGGGTGTGCATATCCCACTAATAGTTTGGGGGACTCAGTAGCTCCAATTTCAAGGGAAAATTAGCGCATCTAATAACAACATACCTAGCACTTCCTACAAGCCTCTTTTGCAGATTCCGCTTATTCTAAAGCATGCGAACAAACGTCTGGTGCTCGGGGTGGCGGTAGTTGCGGTTGTACCAGTACCATCCACCGTATCCGAGCACTCCAATGGCCACGATAATGACCAGTACAAGAGCAACAATGGCTCCCGTGCTCGGCCCGCCGCCACCACCAGAGGGTGCAGGCGCCTTCGTAGTGGTGGTATTGTAATCCTGCAATAACATAAGAAGGAAAGGGTTTACTTCAATTCCATAGGCTGCTGTGAGAGTTATCAGAACAGCTTGACACAGGTCATGCAACCGTCTGCTTCTAGCCTACAGGCCTCCCACACGCACAAGCCTCGCTTCAAAACCCCAGGCCCTTCTCACGCTTCTTACCTTCTCCTTGGCGCCGGGCAGGTCGTCAAAAGTATCCGAAATGGCCTGCGGCTTGTTGATGCCGGCCGGGATGACGGCGGGCTGGGCGGCCATCTGCTTCATGAGATCCACCTTCCAGGTGGGCGGCAGCGGGCCAGGGCGCTCAATGTAGTACAGGTTGGGGTTAATGTCGTAGCTGCCCAGCACCCACTTGCTCTTCTCCTGTGGTGGGGAACGATAGAGAGCACGCACATAAGGAGTACAGGAAGACAGGGAGTGGGGCGCTCAATGTAGTCCAGGTTGGGGTTATCTCGTAGCTGCCCAGCACCCACTTGCTCTTCTCCTGTTAGAGGTGAGGGAAAGGCAAGGGAGCACAGAGGGTAAGAGCATGAGAAGCAGTCCAGGTTGGGGTTGACTTCATAGCTGCCCAGCACCCACTTGCTCTTCTCCTGTGAGCGATGGAGTGAGCATGGTGGTAGAAAGAATAGTAACGGAAAGAGCACACAAATGGACTTCAGTTTAGGGTTTCTGCATGGTTAATGCGCAGCTGCCCAGCACGACGTAATCTCAGCACCAACGCTCGCCCACACTGACCTTCCACCAGGTGACGTCAATGAGGTTGTAGAACCCATATCGGGGCGCTGAGGCCTCTTGTGCCTGTCTCTCCTTGTGGACCCCCCTGTGCTTCAGCCTACCATCCCTTGTGCTCTGAAACGACTCACAACTCAGTTTCATCACGACCGACCTTCCATGTGACGTCAATGTTGTGGAACCCGTACTGAGGTGCAGAGGCCTCCGTCTGACTCTCCCCGGTGGTGTCTATCCTTGTGTCTCCCTTGTGCTTCAGCCTACTATCCCTTGTGCTCTGCAACGACTCACAACTCAGATTCAGCACGACTGACCTTCCAGGTGACATCAATGAGGTTGTAAAACCCGTATTGGGCGCTGAGGCCTCCGTCTGCCTCTCTTCCATGCATCAGTTCGTCCTCCCTTCTGCTCTGAAACATCTCGAAACCAGCCTCTGCACGACTGACCTTCCAGGTGACGTCAATGAGGTTGTAGAAGCCGTATTGGGGCGCCGAAGCCTCCGTCTGCCTCTCCCCCGTGGTGCTGTTGAAGGCGACGGTGCCCGAGGCGCCGTTGAAGGCGATACACTGGGTAGGGATGCCTCGGAAGCAGTCCAGCAGCAGTGGCGCCGTCACCTCCTTGCCTGGAGATATGATGGCGACCAGCGGCAATTATGCGGAAGAAAAGAAAAAACTTTGTGAAAAAAGGTGTTGCGGCCACAAGCTATTAACTATCCACGACCACATACAAAACGAAAAACGACGGTAAATATATGTATATAGATATATACAATACAATACAATGTAAATGCATGTGTATATCAATGAGGTTTCATACCTTGGTTGACAACAATGTTGTTGAAAGCTACGAAGAATGCCCAGATGGAATCAATCAGGTTAGTGACGTAGGCGCGAGCTTCGGTGAACTGAGAGCGGTGGCAGAGGAGGGGGTGAGGGAAGGGAGGGGGGTGGGCGGGTAAACGACTCTAGGTACACGTGACTGTAGGAATCGATAGGGTTGGTAACATAGGCAGGGAAGGAAGATAAAGGGACACGTACAGGAAGCGGCAGGGAGCGCACACATACCCAGGGGGAGGCATAGAGCGTGAGCAGGCCAGGGTATTCCTCGTGCGTCTTGGTGGCCCAGAAGTCACTCATAGCACGCACATACCCGGGGGGAAGCGTCAAGCTTGACAGCTACCACAACAGCACGCACATACCCGGGGGGGGGGGGCATCAAGCTTGACAGCATCACTCAGAGCGCGCACATACCCGGGGGGAGGCATCGAGCGTGAGCAGCCCAGGGTACTCCTCGTGCGTCTTGGTGGCCCAGAAGTCCTTGAACTGGTTGAAGGGGGACGTGCGCGGATGGTAGTTGCCCTCTGCGGGGGGGGGGGAGCGGGGGACGTTGGACGGGGAGGGAGAGGGAGCGGGACAAGAAGAGAAGTCCTTGAACTGGTTGAAGGGGGACGTGCGCGGATGGTAGTTGCCCTCTGCGCGTTGAGAAAGAGCAAAAACGGGGGCGGGGGGGTGGGGGGTGGGGGGGGGAGGAAGGGCGCGGAAAGGGGAAAAGAAGAGAAGTTGACGGGATGTGGGTGGGTATTTTCTGGAATTTGTGAGGTGGATGGAAGAGGAGAGCAGCAACAGAAAAATGAGACGTTGAGTCAATAGACCGGAAGACCAGAAAATGACATCAAGACGAGAGGTTTAATTTTAGCAAGCCAATGACTTACTGTAAGGCCCGACGCCAATCTCTCCCTGAAGGGCGTGTGTGAGGTTGGATAGGTCCTTGCCTGCATGGCAGCAGGGCAGTGTGAGAAAGAAACATAAGTTTGTGAAAAAAAGAAAGAAAGAAGAAACACACACACACACACACACACACACACGCACACACACACACACACACACGCGCACACACACACACACACACACACACACACACACACTTTTTTTTTTTTTTCGCTCACCAGTTTCTCAAACACGCCTCTAAGAAGACCCTCATTACAAGCACAGGTCGTGAGAAAGGCAAGCGTACCTTCGCCAACGAGGTCAAACGCAACGGCACCATCAGCTCCCAGGTACCAGTACGGGAACTTGGTCTGGCCCTGCATTGCGTTAGAGCAGGAAAAGGGGGGAAGTTGGAAGAAGGTGCGGAGGAGGAGCAGGGGAAAAAACAATCGACAAAGACCATATCAACAGTGCTCTCAGCTTCCAAGTACTACTTGGTCTGGCCCTGCAATGTGCTATCTGCTCCCAAGTTCTCCATCTCTCTCCTCCTCACTGTCTTCTTCGATCCAACCCACCAGGCAGAACGCCGTCTCCCACAGGGCCTCGGCGACGTTGGGCAGCGGGCGACCACCACTGGGCAACTAGTTCTCCATCTCTCTCCTCTTCCCCACTGACTCCTTCGATCCAACCCACCAGGCGGAACGCCGTCTCCCACAGGGCCTCGGCGACGTTGGGCAGCGATAAGCGCACTCACCAGATACGGCCAAACCAATTCCCTAGATCCGGCAAAACCGACTCACCAGGCGGAACGCCGTCTCCCAGAGGGCCTCGGCGACGTTGGGCAGCGTGGCGAAGACGCAGACGGACGCGTTGCTGGGCTTCATGTTGGCGAAGTACTGGTCGAGGGCCGAGAGGCAGCGTGATCAGCACCACTAAGAGACGAGCTCCGTTTTTCCCCCTCCCTCTGTCTCCCTCTCGCATCCACACTCCCTCCCGTTTCTCGCCCTTTATTCTTCCCTTCTCCCCCAACTCACCAGGCGGAACGCCGTTTCCCACAGGGCCTCGGCGACGTTGGGCAGCGTGGCGAAGACGCAGACGGACGCGTTGCTGGGCTTCATGTTGGCGAAGTACTGGTCGAGGGCCGAGAGGCAGCGTGATCAGCACCACTAAGAGACGAGCTCCGTTTTTCCCCCTCCCTCTGTCTCCCTCTCGCATCCACACTCCCTCCCGTTTCTCGCCCTTTATTCTTCCCTTCTCCCCCAACTCACCAGGCGGAACGCCGTTTCCCACAGGGCCTCGGCGACGTTGGGCAGCGTGGCGAAGACGCAGACGGACGCGTTGCTGGGCTTCATGTTGGCGAAGTACTGGTCGAGAGCGGTGGGGTCCACCGGATACGGGATCTTGATCGGTTTCAGCACGCGCTGGCCGCCCATAATGTTCTGCTCGGGGGGTGGGGAGGGTGGGGGGGAAAACGCGGGCGAGAGCGGGGAAAGCGGGAGCGAACAGGGGGAAGCGAGGGAGCACAGGGGGAGGGGGGAGAAAGGGGAGAGGCAGGGGTGGGAGATTAGGGCAGCGCGGCGAAGACGCACACCGACGCGTTGCTGGGCTTCATGTTGGCGAAGTACTGGTCGAGAGCCGTGGGGTCGACCCCGCACGGCACCTCGATGGGCTGCAACGCGCGCTGGCCGCCCAAAATGTTCTGCTCGAGGGGAAGAGAGGGGAAGGGGGATGGGGAGAGGCGGGGGAGCGGGAGCGAGCAGAGGGGAAGCGAGGGGGAGCAGGTGGAAAAGTGAGGACTTTCTTCCTCCGTTTCTGGTCAAAACTAGTGCCGGATCAGGCGGAGAAGAGGGAGTGCCGTAAAGTGTACTGGATCGCCTCATAACAAGGACATTGCTCACCTTGATGCTCTTAGCGAGCGAGGTGCCATAAATCTCGTCCGAATAGAAGAGGTGAATCTGGTCGAAGTTGAAGTGCTCAATCTGCAGCAATGCGCGGGAAACATCACGAGGCAGCAGAAACGGAGGGAGAAATGGATAAGTGCGATGATACAAGTCACCGACACGAGGGGTGAAACGGGCGGAGTGCGTAGTCGGAACCGAGGAGAGAGCAGAGAAGGAATTGAAAGGGGCGGTGAGGAAGGGTGGAGTTAGAGCCCAGAGTGAAAAGGGCGGAGTGAAAGAAAAGTGAGCGACCGTGCGGTGGAAAGGTGGGGGAAGGGAGACGGGCAAGGGAACTTACCACGGACTTGATGGCGGTCGCTTGGTCCGCGTCCGGAAAGCTGAAGGCAAGGGACGCAAGGGGAAGATTCGAGGGGCGCAAGGGGAAGATTCGAGGGACGCAAGGGGATGATTCGAGGGACGCAAGGGGAAGATTCGAGGGACGCAAGGGGAAGATTCGAAGGACGCAAGGGGAAGATTTGACGGGGAAGACCGGAAGTAAAATCGTGGGGGATACGAGGAAGATTCGAGGGGGAGAAACGGAAGAACCAAGTATTACGGATACAACCACACGGTGGGGTGGTGACTCAGACAAAACTATTGGGTAACTAGACGGTAACGTATACAGTGCGGAAGAAGGTAGGGTACTCGACGTCGCTGGAGAACCCGTCGGCAGTGGCGGCGAAGGAAACGAACGAGATAACCGCGATACCCGCGTCGTGCGTAACGTACACAGTGCGGAAGAAGGTGGGGTACCCGACGTCCCTGGAGAGCCCGTCGGCAGTGGTGGCGAAGGAAACGAAAAATATAAAACGGGTTACCAGCGTAGTGCGTAACGTACACAGTGCGGAAGAAGGTAGGATACTCGACGTCGCTGGAGAAGCCGTCGGCAGTGGCGGCGAAGGAAACGAACGGAATTCCGGCCGCCTTGAGCACGGGATTGGCGCCCTTCACAGCCTCGGAACACGCGGGACCCACCACGCCGACCACGTTCGTGTAGACTAGCCGCTGAAATGCGCGAGAGACGGGAAGACGAAGAAACGGAGAGCACATATGCTGAGCATCGTAAGTGGTGACCTTGCGACATGTCGATACCAACAAGGAGAACGAGAAAAGGATGTTTGTCTAAAGGGTAACACGGAGGACAATCGTTCAGACGTAAGCGACGCATCCTATTAAATGCGTCCTCGAGTCTGGACCATCCCGTTAAGGGTTTCCTCGTTATTCAGCAGGCCAGTTCTCCTTTGAAGAGTCGATATCTGGACCACCCCGTTAAGAGCGTCCTCGAATTCGTGATAAGCACGCCAGTTTCCCTTATAGGTCGGAGATATCACATTCAAAGAACCGTGACTCACCTATCCTGAGAGATTTCCTTCAAGTTTCAACACACCTTTCCTAGAAAGACAAAAATGATAGCGTCATGACAGATCAGACCCACCTGTGCAGCCTGAGCGGCAACTTCGGCGTCGCATGCGGAGTTTTGGACGAACGGCTCGACGACGAAGTTGTTCTCGTACTGGGGTCCCAGCACCTCCAGAGCCACACGGACGGCTGAGATCCTGCCACGACAGCATTGGACGCACAAAGAACTCGTTGACGCACGTTGGAGGCCGCGTAGTAATCATGAAACCTCTCACGAGGTCTTCGAAAATCTCTCTTGCAAAACTTGTTACAGCAATAACAAGTTGTCGCGTGACCGTCACGATCAAATCCATTTTGCGATGGTTGCAGCCTTTCCGACGAGCCATTGACGAAAACTTCAGATTCAGTTTTCAATTCCGTCAGTTATGCACGCCGTCGGCATGGAACCTTGTGGTGCAGCTTTTATCATATACATGCAACCTTCCCATAAGTTCACAAAAGCATAGCGGTGCCTTATGAATCGACACAGGAACTACGTTCTGATGCGTCCTCAGACGTATGTTTCGTCATTATGTCTGCCGTGCGGAGACAAAATCGTGAATGTGAATAAGCGAGAGAGTCTCGGGTGAGAGGTCTAACCATTCATCGGCAAGTCGTTGCGGAACGGCGGAGTCGCCATCAGGATACGGTAGGAGGAACCCAAGCCGAATCACTTGTTGAGCTTGGCATGAGCTAGCAATGAGCAGCAGAACCACCAAACACGAGGGCCATCTAGAGAACGCCATGGCTCAGGACACCGACCCACCGCAGAGTCTACCTAGATATCTCCAACTCGCCAGAAGCCTTGAAATTTCTCCAGTAGTTGGAGGACGTGAAACCAAAACCGAGGAGAGAAATGAAGCGCACCAAGCAGCAACTGAGGATCTCTCGATAAATTCGCTTTGCAGCTGTGGATGGGTGAAAGCTTGTGTGGGGGGAGTAGGGAGGCGGTGACAGGGAGGAAGGGGAATGGGAGCAAGGGAGGGGGAAAGCTGGAAGGTATGTCAGACGCCAGAAGGGATTGTGAAAGGCTAGAGCGATGTGAGAGGTTTGGGGAAAAATGGTGTAACATATCATTCGCATCCTTTCATTTCGGTAGTAAGAGTTCCTCAGGAGTTGGGGCTGAACTTACGGGAGTAGTGAAGCAACTGGAGCATGTCCTGGCCTTGTTTTCGGTTCAGGCATCAAGCTCCAGTCGCCGGACCAGGGACGGGCTTCACCCGTCGGTCAGACGCATGGCACAACGCGGGTTTGCGCGGGACAGGCTGCTCCGAGGCGGACTGGTAGGCCAGGAATTGAGCGAAGCGGGCGCTCTGGCTCTTTGAACTCGCTGGTTCAGAATGAAGCCTTTGGGGTCAGGTGAGAACTACCAAAGAAACTGTAGGTTCATTAGCAAAAACTGTCAAACGAAACGACGGAGCCACTAATAGCTGTAGTGGCTTTTGCTCCATTGTTTATTCTCCACTTGCCAGATAAAACTAACGCTTAGCCAGCTGATGAGTTTTGGAATTTGGTATGACTGTAAACACCTCATGTGAACCATGAAGTGAAATTTGAGGGGCAGGCTGAGAACAAAAGCCTTGGCGCGAACCACGTGTGGTGTGGTTCGGGTAGCCGTTAGTGACAAGACCTGACCTCGCTTGCCCAGATGATGTTTGGAGGACCCAAGCAAGCACCTTGCCTTCGCTTCGCCCCATAGCATCCCTTGTCTGACGCATTTGTTTACGTTGCGCGGTTCGCAGGCGGCCTGACGGCTCGGAATTGGGACACAGCCCTGAATCCTGCGGCAAACCCCGCCCGAAAGTCGTACCGCAGTTGTCACGCATAGCTTTTCACAATCAAAGCCCAATCTTCGACAATGAAAGCCTCGGTAAACAAGTGATTTCTCGACGCTGTACTCTTCTGGTAGCCACACATAATCTGGTTAGCAAATTGGAGAAATAGCCCATATGAAATGTGATCTTCGTTGGTAACACTCCTCGTTACACCGCTCTCGTCAGAACCTTCGGTTTCATGAAAATTGGTCTGCTGCTGCGCCAGGTGACAGGTCGGGTCGCGTGCTTGCGCCAGCTTGCCCAACAAGCGCGGCTCGGATACAATGTCGCTTCACTAGTCGTCGCCAATGCTCCTACGACAACGATTGAAGTATCCATTGATCAAATCCGTCGCACAATGCAGAAAGTAGGGCGATTTTCTTGGTGGTTTGGTGGTCTGTGCCTGGGACGACCTCCTCCTGCTGCGTGGCGACGATACCCTTTGCTGAGCTGCCGATTAGGAAAAATGGTGGGCGCGTGGTTGGGCTTGGCTTGGGGGCTGCCCTTCTGCATGTGCTCTCTCAAGAAGGTTCTGCTGAAAAGGTTACAACCAAGCCAGGTCGGTGGCCATTCAAACAGCACAGCAGCGCCAAACAGGTGGCGACTGGTTAGGCTCGTAGCGGAATCGGCGCGCAGTGGTCGTTGAGCTGCCACGTCGGCTCGCGAAGGTGTTTTTCGGGATTTGATCGATAGGTTCGGGGCATTTTTTACGAAGCGAAGGTCGATTCTGGGACTGGTCGCACCCGTCGTCTCTTGAGTCCACGAGTCGATCGAGTAGAGAAAGTCAGCTTGATTCTGACAGCGGTCGCACTGGCCGTCGCACGCCGCCTCACGAGGAAGCTTCGCGTTGAACAAGCGCCGCCAGCGCAACTCTCGCGCAAGTTTTCAGTGTGAGCCATCGCCGCCGGTTAATCCCTCCCATCGCAAATCTCTCTCGCAGTAAGTTATTGTTACTCATCCCCGACGGCTGAGCAATAAATGCGGGGCGGGGAACCTTTCGCCACTTCTTTTTTTCGCATTCGCCAGATCTGAGACCTGTCGTACGAGACCGTCGCACACCCATCCCCCCTCCCCACGATGAAATTTCGCGTTGACCGAGCGCTTAGGGCTTCGAATTACTTTCTCGCGAAGGTTCTTAATCGCAAGCAACAGGCGTTGCCAGTGGTGGGGGTGGGCGGGGTTGGGCGGGGGCGGGGAGGGGAAATGGCGGAAAGGGCGAAAAGGGGACGAGATTCCCGCTGCATCCTTCCTAGACGAGGCATCATTTCTCGTCACGGTGAGCCAGAGGCGCGGCGGCGTAAGCGCCTATACGAACCACCACAGTACTGCTGTACCTGACTCTTCCCCCCGCGATGCGTGGGTGGGTGGTTGGGAGGTTGTATTCCCCGCAGACGCCGTATTCAGAAACAAGTATATAAAGCCCGGTGCCGCGAGTCCGACTCTCACGAATTCGAGTCGATCGTTTCAAGAGCCCACGAATTCATCCGCTTGTCCCAGAGAGGGATACCCGCAGACGATTGAATACTCCTAGTCATTCCACGTTTGTCATCCGCTCGTCCATATCGTGATACATAATAGCGACTACTAGCTTCGGCCAGTCTAGCCGACACGGTGTCTCGCGAATTGTTAAGGATCATCTCTGTCCGTTCGAGGCCATTTCGACTTACAATCAGGTTGATACTGGAGTGACTCACGGAGCGGCTCACGCGGAGCGAATCGGTTCCTTGAAGCGCATACCGGCCCAAGAATGGCGCGCCACTGGGTCGCGTTCCTCTGCGTCGCGCTGCTCCTCGTGTCACCAGGTGCGACGCTGACTCGGCTCCGCACCAGGCCCTGAGACGCTTCAAGTCAATACGCTCGTTCTGCCTCCCTGAACCCTCCCTCTCTCCTTCCGCCACTTTACCACCCTCTCTTTCCCTCTCTCTCCCCCTCTTTCCCTCCTCCTCCCCGCCCCCTCTCCCTGTGATTGGGCCTGGCGGCACCGGAAGCGTGCCCCTCTAAACGCCGCACTCGTTCCAACCACCTGCTCCTTGCCCTCTCCCTCTCTCCCCTCTCTCTCTCGAGGCGCCTCAAAAGTCTACTTTTGAGGCGCCTCAAAAGTCCCCTCTAAACGCCACACTCGTTCCAACCACCTGCTCCTGGCCCTCTCCCTCTCTCCCCTCTCTCTCACTCTCCCTCCCTCCCCCCTTCCTCACCTGCAGTCTTGGCTCGTCGCGGGCCTGGGGGCAACGGATGGGGCAACGCTGGTAACGGCCAGACCGTGGTAACGGCAGCAACGGTTCCTGCAACGATACGCCCCTCTCTCAACCCCCTCCCTCTCCCCTTCTCCCGCTCTCCCTTCCCTCTTTCTCACCTGCAGTCTTGGCTCGTCGCGGGCCAGGTGGCAACGGATGGGGCAATGGCGGTCAAGGCGGCGGCGGCAGTAACGGTCAGGGCGGCGGTGGTAACGGCGGTAATGGTTACTCATACGATTATGCTGACGGAAGCGACTACAGCAGCAACGACAGCAGCGACGACAGCAGCGACGATAGCAGCAATGACAGCAGCGACGACAGCAGCGGAAGTGAGGACTACTATACCCCCGGACCTGGCAGCGGGAACGGGAACAGTGGCGGCGGCGCTGGTGCTGGTGCTGGGTTTGGTCCGGGACCTTGGTGGGATGATGACGGTGACGAAAACAGTAACGGTAGCGGTAACGGCAACGGTAACGGTTACGGAAACGGTTACGGTAAGGGCATGAACGGGCCTCGGTTCTTCAACGGGACTCATGTGTGCTTCAACGAATCTGGGCCGTGTCATAACGTAACGGACGGTTGGGGCCCCTGGTGGTTAGACGAGAACGCCACAGCGCCGTGCTTGAACGGAACTGGGCCATGCTATAACGAATCGGGCGGTTGGGGTATGGGCCCCTGGTGGTTAGACGAGAATGCCACAGCGCCGTGCTTGAACGGAACTGGGCCGTGCTATAACGGAGATGGCCCCGGGCCTTGCGCGACTGGCGCGAACGGAACTGGCGGCCCATGTCAGGGTGGTGGTGGCTATGGCCCCGGTGGAGGCGGCGGCAACGGTCCTTGGTGGGACGACGATGACGACGACGATAACGAGTCTTCTAGTAGTGATTTTCCTGGCCCGCCTTTCAGTAACGGAGCGGGTCGATTTGGGGAGCCGTGGTGGCTGGATGCGAACGCGACGGATGAGAATCATCCGTGCTGGAACGAAAGCAGCCCTTGCTTCAACGCCACGGGCCGATGGGGGCCCTGGTGGTTGGATACGAACGCGACATTCGGCCAATTCGGGCCCTGGTGGCTGGACGAGAACGCTACAGCGCCGCCCTGCTTGAACGGAACCGGGCCGTGCTATAACGGGGATGGACCTGGGTGGGGTTTTGGGGGTCCCTGGTGGCTGGATGAAAACGGCACTGCTCCTTGTGTTGACGGAACAGGGCCGTGCTTTAACGGAACAGGACCGTGCTTTAATGGATCAGGGCCGTGCTTTAATGGTACGGGAGCTTGCAATAACGGATCTGGATGCGGAAGGGGAGGGTTTGGGAGAGGCGGGTTTGGTCGCGGGTTTGGGAGGGGCGGGGGATTCGGGCGGGGCAACGGGCCCTGGTGGTGGGACGAGGATGACGTGGAGGCATTTAACAGCACCACGTGGCCTTGCATGAACGGAAACGGCAGTGGTTATGGCCCTGGCGCTGGTGGTGGTTTCGGCGGTGGTTATGGCGCTGGCGCTGGTGCTGGTGCTGGTTCTGGTGCCGGGTTTGGAAACAGTCAGGGAGGAGGGAACGGGTGGGGACAGGGATCTGGGATGGGTCCGTGTGTGAACGGCTCAGATGGCTCTACACCCTGCTGCAACGGATCTGGACCGTGCGTGAACGGGAGTGGTGGTGGTAACCCGTGGTTCAACAGCAGCGGAGGGGGAGGATTCGCGTGTGGCGCTGCTGACCCTGCCCTCGGGAACATGACAGGTGAGATCAGAGTATCAGCAAATAAATTATCAATTATCCTTCTCGCTTTCTGCTCCTGTTATTTGTGTATTGCTCATTTCTCATTGCTCATTGCTCTCCCCTTCTCATACTCCCATGCCTACATGACATTGAGATGAGCATGTCCTACATGCCAGCTGCTTCTTCTCGTGCTCGTATTGTACTGCATAGAACGACATGTTCTAATAAAGCTTATGTGTGTCTGTAAATGATTGTGCTTATAACAGGCCGAGTGAGAGCATCCCTATCCAGCTGCTCTTCTGATGCTCCTCTGCTGTCTGGAGGCTCCTTTTTCCTCTCCATCTTCAAGTAAGATGCTTCTTTCTCTTCTTTATTCTCCGTTTTCCGTTTTCTGCGCATTTCTAGGATCATCTCGTGTTTAACATAAGGTTTATATTGATATCACCTGTAATCTTATTCGCTTTTGTCCCTTTCTCCCACTCCACCAGGAACGCCTCTGGTCATTTCAACCTCCATTACACTGTCATAATCCGTAACGTCACCTCTGCATCCTCCGTCCCCGATACAATCACACTCGTTAAGAGCAGTACTGCCTGCAACAGCTCCGCCCCCACCCTCTTCTCTTTCCCCGTTGCCGCCGACGAATGGGAGCTCGCCAACTCAACGGGCGGCCCCGCCAGGTGGGGTATCTACACCACCGTTACTGTAGCTCGGCTCTTTGACGCCCTAGAGGATATCGATGCTGCTACTATCGAGGATATTCTGGCCGGAATTCCCAATGCTACTGTACCTGAGGATTGGGCGAATGGTGTGAGGGGATGGAGCCAGGGGTATGGTCCTGGGAATGGTAACGGAAATGGTAACGGATTTGGTTATGGGAGGAGGTTTGGTGTGAGTAATGGCAGTGTGGGGAGGAGGCGGGGGAGGGGGTTGTGGGAGGCGGCAGACGCCTGGTTCAAGAGCTTGTTTGCGGTTAAGAGCGTGGATGAGGGGAGTGAGGAGAGCAGGGAGGAGGAGAGGGAGGAGGGCACTAGTGATGGTAACGATGGGAGCGATGACAACGAGAACAATGAGGACAGTGATGACCTGAGTGCCAAAGTCGGGAGTGACGACAGCAGCGGTGATGACAACAGCAGCAGTGATGACAACAGCAGCGGTGATGACAACAGCAGTGGTGATGACAACAGCAGCAGTGATGACAACAGCAGCAGTGATGACAACAGCAGCGGTGATGACAACAGCAGCAGTGATGACAACAGCAGCAGTGACGATAGCAGTGACAATAGCAACACTGATTATGACGATGATGGCAGCGATGACAGTGCTGACAATGAGTACAGCGATGACAGCAGCAGCAGTGACTATAGTGTTAATGATGGTAGTGATGACAACGAGGACAATGAGGACAGTGATGATCTCAGTGGCAACGATGGGAGCGACGACAGCAGCAGCAGTGACGAAAACAGCAGCAGTGACGACAACAGCAGCAGTGACTATAACGACCAGGACAGTGACAACAGCGGTGGCAGTAGCGGCAGTGATTATAACGATGATGGCAGTGACAACAACGACAGCAGCAGCAGCTTCATACCAGTAAACCCACCGTATACCGCTGCCCCTCCCACGTCACTGTCTCTCATCGTTGCCAATAGCGACACAGGCGAGCAGTGGAGTGGGCCTGTGCTTGGAGTGTTCCTCTACTATGACATCTAGCCAGTTGCCGCGTGAATGGGCCCTGTCACGTCGCTCTCTCTCATTGTGGCCAATAGTGACACAGGCGAGGAGTGGAGTGGGCCGTTGCTGGGAGTGTTCCTCTGTTGTGACAATTAGCCAGTTGCTTCGTGAAGGGGAGGTTGGCTGAAGTGCTATGAGTGGGTCATGGGTAGTGGAGGGGTGTTGGGAGAGCAGTAGTGCTTTGAGACGTCTTAAAACATCACTTCCATCACGTTGCTGTGAGTGGGTCATGGGTAGTGGAGGGGTGTTGGGAGAGCATTGGAGTGGGCCCTTGCCGGGGATGTGGAGAGCAGTGGAGTGAGCCCTTGCCTGGGGTGTTTTTCTACTAGGATAGCAACTAGCTCCTGGCGGTTTGTGTCACTCTTGTGATTCGTCAAATGTGACACAAACAGGGCCCTTGCCAGGAGTGTTTCCTGGCTGCTGGGTTGCTGACTTGCGGCATGTGCTGCGGATTGGGTAGCTGGTACTGCGTGTTTTGAGACGTCTCAAAACAAGCATGTGCTGGGGATTGGGTAGCTGTTACTGCGTGCGCTGGGGACGGTTGCTACTTGCTATGAGTGGCTGCTTCAGAGGGATTGGGTGTTGGCTTTGGGTTTGATGAGTGCAGGGTAGGTGGGCTCTGCTGGGTTTCTTATTGCTTGCTGCTCTATTGGGTGCTTTGCTAGTTGGGTTCTCTCTCTTCTCACATTTGATTGGCATGCGGGCATGTGTTGGCTGCCCTTGGTGCATGTCCAAGTGCATGAGCCTTACAGATGCAGGAGATGGAGTGGCTACTTGCTTGGCGTTGAGTGACTGTATTCCACAGTGCACTCAAAGTCACTCAAAGTCAGTAACTTTGACCATAAAGCAGCACAGTGCACTGTTGGATGTATTGCACCAAAAATGTAGTTTCGCAAGAGTTTGTCTATTTTGTGCAGCTTTCTGTGCCTTCATGTCAATCATATAGTGAAAATTGATTCCAGGGAACTCTGCGTTGCAAGTTGCACGACACGTAGAGTTGGTGAGCCCTTCTACTAAAGGACGAGGATTTAAAATAAATGGAAGTCTATGAACCACTGTGTGCGCGGTTGTGTGTGGTGTGGACAATAATGATATGACACGCGAGCCTACTTGAACTAAAGCGAATGCACCTGTATGATACAATATTGGGGACTAAATACGCTGTGTTACCGTATACTGTCAAATAGATATTGTATATACCTATACGTGTACGTATGGTTGGGCATCATGTGTGTAGCTGTAGTGCTACCTTACAAGTTCGCATTACCGTCATACACTGTATGTGCCTCGTCGTATCCGTCCGCCGAGGAGCTGACTGAACAACGAGTGTCATGTCATCCACACGAGTGTTCCTGCGCGTGGCGAACTTGGCGAAGACGCGGAAAATGGGTTCGGAAAATCGGAATATCCACTGGGGGAGGACGGTAACTTTGCGGTCCGTAGTCCAGACGAACCAATGCCGACATCACCTCGCCCAGAAATTCAGGATTTTTGGCGCATGGCCCAGCCACAACACGATTTTTTTGTTAGACACTTTCCGCATCACTTCTGTGGCCCACTGGCCCAGCGCTGCAGCAATTGTTCAGTGGGTTTTCGAGGGAGTGATACTGTACGGAGCTTCATCTATGGGGGGGACTGTTTCCGCTAATTCTTGACTGAGACAGGAGAATTTAGAGATACAACCAAGGATCTGGATTTATTTACGCAAATTGACAATTTTTGTATTTTGTTTTAATCTTTCAACTACTCTCGCACCGCGTATCCACGATTCTGAAATGCCTAAACCCAATCGATCAGCCTTATTTCTACACTTTTACACACGTTTTGGTTAGCCTGTTTATGTGTACAGCTGCTTTAAGGTACCTTAATTTACGCAGTTTGGGGTGTGATAGAATCTGTCGCATTATGCATGCAATTATTACGCTCCCTTGTGGTACTTTGCAACTTGAATGTTTGCAGACAATTTGCAAACGGATGGGTTAGTTGAATATTTCCTTGCGCTTATTATCATATTTCTTCTGTACATCTCAGTGGAAATGGGTCGACGGCTCTGTCGACCAATCGACCTCCGTCGATCTGCTGCTTCCGGGCAGAAAAAAACAAAAACCACATCAGATGGCATGCCATCCGAGAGAGGCATCAACCCTAAACGCATGCGACAAGGTGATTAGGGTTGATGTCTCCGTAACCGGATGCATGCCCATACGGGTTTTATTTATTTTTCCCGCACGCACCGAGCTCCGCTGGACAAAGTTGTTTTTCTGCTGAGGTATTTTTTTTTTGGTACAACTAGACTGTTCAAACTATGATAAAAACCAAATCATGTTTGACATTTCAGGGTACTACCCTACAATGATTCGAGAAAGTTGCTTCCTAGAGTTCCACATAAATAATAAACCTCTTAATTATAAACTATGATCACGCAAGCGCATCTAGGGTCCATGAGATTTAAGCAACTCTGATTTGTAGGTACGCGGTGCGAGGGTGGTCGATAGGATCGAGACAAAATCGAAAATAGTCGGATCTCGCAATTAAGTCAAAGATCTGTGACGAGAGTTTCCGCGATCATAGACATGCCACGTGGCGATAATAAAAAGAACCGCAATTCCGCGAGATTAAAGCTCTAAGCCCAAATTGCGAACCGCACTGAGCAATCTTGCTTAGCTGCTAATTTGAGTGTTGTGAGTTGGTGATAGAATGTTGTATTTGAACAGAAAATATATTTGGAAAGGAATGTGCCTCGGGAGGCATCAACCTTAAAAAAAGGCGGGTTTCCATATTTAGGGTTGATTATTCCTGAATATGCGTCCAAGTTCCCTAGGTTTTTTTTTTCCTCCCCTGCCCTAACGACGTATTGTATATCCACCTTGACAGATTCGAATCTCGACAGATTCGAATCTCGGAGAAGCAGGTTCCATTAATACGAATAACTACTAAAGCGTACTATCGATACCGTGACTAAAGGTGTAGTTTGTCGATTGAATTAGGACAATTCTGTTTCGCGGAACGCGGTGGGAGGGTGGTAGACAGGACTGAGTCAAATTCGGGAATCGTCGCGTCGCGCATTTAATTCCGCAATTTGGGCCTGGAGCTCTCATCTGTGACTGCCCCACCCATTTCCTCCCGCCCCAGCAAGTTCTTCCCTAACAGCATTCCGGTTTAACCCATGCCAATCCCTGTGAACCGAAGCCAACCCAAGTCCCTTGCCAAACCGGCTCCACCCGCGTCGCCAGAGTTCACTTTCGGTTCGTTTTAAACGGTTGGGTGCGTTGCTGTGCATTCGGTAACGGTGTCACTACCTCACCACTTAGAACAGGAGAACACGAGAATACAGGAGAATGGGTGAACATTGGTGAGTGGGTGGTGTTACATGATTGTACACTCACTTAAAGCCCGCGGCACAAATTGCGGAGCGCGCGGGTCAAGTTTTTTAAAACTTGACAGCGATAATTTCGCAAACTTGAACAGAAGCGGGCCTGCAATGTGGGACTATCGAGAACTGACCCCCACCAGCAGGGGGAACCGGGGGCTGGTTGGGTTGGGCGAAGAATTGAAATCGACAATATTTTGAAACACTCGCCACAACTCACAGCAAAACAACTCCCCCCGTCAAATTTTTGAAGGATGAACAATTTGGGCCGACGGCTTTAAGCTGTTGCAGAAAGGTTCAAAATCCATCCATCCATCCATCCATCCATCCATCCATCCATCCATCCATCCATCCATCCATCCATCCATCCATCCATCCATCCATCCATCCATCCATCCATCCATCCATCCATCCATCCATCCATCCATCCATCCATCCATCCATCCATCCATCCATGCATGCAGTGATCGTGGTGCCTATCTTAAAGCATGCTTGATCGGCCATGCAGTGACCCACTCATGAGTGTGCATCCTGGATATGGCTCATGAGTGTGCATCCTGGATATGGCTCATGAGTGTGCATCCTGGATATGGCTCATGAGTGTGCATCCTGGATATGGCTCATGAGTATGCACCATCACCGTGTGCCATGACCCACCCATCTGTCCGTGGGACCCCATCCATCCATGCATGCTTCCATGGATGCAGCAATTGTGGTGCTCATATTGAAATCATTTTTGAGAATTCTCAAAAGTGATTTCAATACGACCCCATCCATCCATGCTTACATCCATGCAGCGATTGTGGTGCCCATCCTGCGACATCCTGCTTCAGGCCGCACCCACGCTGGGTTTCTCTGAGGCCGTGCCAGCTCTGTGTCCCACAATTGTGCGCCTTGATCCATGCATCCATCCATCCATGCATGCATGCATTGCAGTGATTGTGGTGCCCATCATGCGACATCCCGTCCCCGAGAACGCAACATCGCAGCAGCGCAGGGAGAGCTTCAGCAACACCTCGTGGGCAGACCTCAGCTATCTGGGCAACGAGCTGCAAGCCGTCCTCAGCCTTCTATCTAACGGTTCGTACTCATAACGGCGCTCACTCTGCTTCATGCAAGTGACACATCAGACCTCACTCAGCTATCTAGATCGAGGGAGGGCTTCAGCAACACCTTGTGGGCGGACCTCAGCTATCTAAGCAACGAGCTGCAAGCCGTCCTCAGCCTTCTATCCAACGGTTTGCACTCACTTCCCCATAACGGTCGTCACAAACAGAGCCCACCTTCCTTGACCAGTCTCACGCCCACAACATGAGCGTGTTTTGCGTGTTTTGCGCGTTTTGCGTGGGCCGACCTCAGCTATGCGGAACGCGAGCTGCAAACGGTCCTCACTCTGCTTCTTAACGGTTTGATCACTTCCTCATCACTTCCTCATCACTTCCCCATCACTTCCCCAACACTTCCCTCGTTTTTCATTGTGACACAAATAGGCCTCACCTGTGTCCCCCATGCCTTCCATGCATGTGTGTGTGTGTGTGTGTGTGCGTGCGTGTGTGTGTGCACGCGCGTGCGCATGTGCGTGTGCATGCGTGTTTGTGTTTGCGTATGTGTGTGTGTGTGTGTGCGTTTGTACGTGGGAGGGGGGGGGGAGGCATGCAGGCAGCGCCACCAGCGCCTATTCTATTGCCATATATGACACAACCAACCCAGAGCAACTAATTCAGCGCTTTTGAGCCCACTTGCAACTCTCATGTTCCCCTAATGCTTCCCATGCGTGCGTGTCTGTGGTGGCATGCAGGCAGCGCCACCAGTGCCTATTCTATCGCTCTGTACGACACAACAGATCCAGAGCAACCTATTCAAGTGCTCGGTCTCGATCCTCTGAGGCTGGAGAGTGGCACCCTCTACCCTTACGTGCTACCCGGGCCTGTGGTGCCGGGTCCCAAGCACATTGAACCGTTTCCTGAAGACCTGCTGGGCCGCAAATACGAGGCACACTGCAGGTGAGGCAAGGAGGCAATGCAGGTAAATAAGCCTGCAGGTGAGTGGCAAAGAGCCCCTGAGGCTGGAGAGCGGGTCCCTCCCTCTTCCCCTATGTGCTGCCTGGCCCTGTGGTGCCGGGTCCCAAGCACATTGAGCCTTTCCCTGAAGATCTGCTGGGCTGCAAATACGAGGCACACTGCAGGCGAGGCAAGAAGGCAGTTCACATCAAGTTTGTCTCATTTGCATGACACATGTATGCCCCCCTCACTTGAATGCTCCCTCACTTGAATGCTCCCTCACTTGAATGCCAATGTGCTATGCAGGTTTGAGTTGAGGGCCCCTACCCCAAACCTCATGTCAATGTGCTATGGGACCTCGTGTATGCCTTGATGCTGCTAGGCATGCTGGTGCTGCTGGTGCCTGTGTTGCTCTTCCTTGTGATTATGAAATTATGTCTGTCACACAAGGAAATTATGAAATTATGTCTGCCTTGGTGCAGGCATGGAATTATGTCTGTCTCCCTCCTTCACGTGAATGCCAATTCACAGGTTAGAAGGCGGCGCCTACCCCAAGTGGGATCTAGTGGTGCTCCCATGCTGCTTGGGCTGCCAGTGCTGCTGGTGGCCGTGCTTCTATCCACAATGACTGCAGTGTTGGCGTGGCCAAGCGGCGGTAGATGACGGAGGGGGTGACGGAGATGCAACTCATTTGTTTACTTTTGAGAATTCTCAAAAGTAAAATCAACATTTGCATGAAGCCTCACTCCTTCCCGTTATCTCTGTCTCGTTCACATGGATGCCACTGGGTGAAGGTTTGATGGCCCCTACCCCAAGTGGGACCTAGTGTACGCCCCCATGCTGCTTGGCCTCCTAGTGCTGCTGGTGGCTGTGTTGATTTCCCTCGTGATTGCGGTGCTGGCGTGGAAGCGGAGGCAGATGGCAGAGGGGTTGAGAGAGATGCAGTTGTGCACAGCGGCGCTGGAGAGAGCTGAGAAGTCCAAGAGTGAGACGGTGGCCAACACGTCTCATGAGCTGCGCACGCCACTCATTGGCGTCATAGGTGAGGGAGGGAGGGTGGACATGTATGTGTGGGTTTGAAGAGGCGCTGGAGAGAGCTGAGAAGCCCAAGAGTGAGACGGTGGCCAACACGTCTCTTGAGCTGTGCGCGCCACTCATCGGCGTGATAGGTGAGTGAGGGGGAATGCGGGCGGACATGCATGTGCAAGGGAGGGCGTGCATTCATCTGTGAGCTTGAGGCGCCTCGAAAGGCATTGGAGAGAGCCGAGAAGCCCAAGAGTGAGACGGCGGCCAACACGTCGCACGAGCTACGCACGCCATTCATTGGTGTGATAGGTGAGAGAGGGAGCGCATGCATTGGTATGTGTGAGGGAGAGAGGGCGTATATTGGTATGTGTGAGGGAGAGAGGGCGTGTATTGGTATGTGTGAGGGAGAGAGGGCGTGTATTGGTATGTGTGAGGGAGGGCGGACATGTATGTGTTAGGGTGTTCACTCGTGCATGTGTTAGGACGTTTAAGCGTGCGAGTGAGGACGACATGTGCACGTGAGTTTTGAGCCGCTCAAAAAGCCGCTGGAGAGAGAGAGCAGAGAATTCCAAGAGCGAGACAATGGCCAACACATCGCATGAGCTTCGCACGCCACGCGTGAGCTTCGCACGCCACGCGTGAGCTTTGCACGCCACGCGTGAGTTTTGCACACCACTTATTAGCGTGATAATGGTAATGGTAATGGTGATGGTCATGCGATAATGGTAATAGTGATGGGGTAATGGTAATGGTGATGAGGTAATAGTAATGGTGATGGTAATGATAATGGTAATGTGATAGTAGTAATGGTGATGGGAGTGGTAATGATAATGGTAATGGTAATGGTAATGGTGAAGGTAATGGTAATGGTAATGCGATAATGGTAATTATAATGGTAATGGTGATGACAATGGTAATGGTAATGGTAATGGTGATGCGGTAATAGTAGTGGTAATGGTAATGGTAATGGTAATGGTGATGACAATGATAATGGTGGTACTGATAATGGTAATGACAATGGTGATGTGGTAATGATAATGGTAATGGTCATGATAATGCTAAGGTAATGATAGTGATAAGGTAATGACAATCGTAATGGTAATGGTAATGGTGATGGTAATGGTAATGGTAATGGTGATGTGTTAATGGTAGTAGTGACGAGGTAATGGTAATGGTGATGGTGATGTGTTAATGGTAATGATAATGGTGATGCAAAAATGTTAATGGTAATAGTGATGGCAATGAGGGCGTATCCAGGTTCGGGTCATGAGCACTGTTCCGGGCATGCGCAAATTGCGGATGTTCGGAACAACACAAAACACCACTTTGGATTCTCGGAACTCATGCGACCCCAATTTGGTGCGAGGATTTTTCGCGCCAAAATTACGCTCCAAACAACAGTCGCATCCAATGGAGGGATGCCAAAACAGTTCGAAAGATCATTTGCTACACCCACGCAAAACCATGCGACACCCATCCCTAAACACAATCGTAAAAAATGTCGGCGTGAATCCCCAAATGTTGGGAGCGCGACGCGAGAAAATTTAGACACATTCTTGGGTCACTGGGGTCAATTTGCCGAGTGGTTGGGTGCAGAGGTGTAGGATACGGTACATTGCAAAATTGTGGCACTCGACTGACAACCGCCAAACAGATGGCAGTCTAACGTGAATCGTGCAACCAGGTGATTGGTTGGGGGTGGGTCGTGCACGTCAGTCGCCCAACACCTGCACATTGACCCAAAGCTGGGGCCGCGCGCGGCTCGGCAGCCCACTTCGGGTCATGCGCGATTTCTGCATGACCCGAACAGTACAATGAACAGTGCCCATGACCGGAACCAAAGATACGCTCTGATAGTGGTAATGGCAATGGTAATGGTAATATTGGTGATGCGATAATGGTAATGGTAATTGTGATGCGGTAATAATAATGGTGATCGCAATGGTAATGGTGATGGTAATGGTAATGGTGATGATAATAGTAGTGATAATGGTGATAACAGTGGTAACGGCAATGGTGATGGTGATGCGGTAATGGTAATGGTAATGGTAATGGTAATGGTGATGGTAATGGTGATGGTAATGGTAATGGTAATGGTGATGCGGTAATGGTGATGCGGTAATGGTAATGGAAATGGTGATGCTATGTTAATGGTAATGGTAATGGTAATAGTAATGATAATGGTAATGGTGATGGTGATGTGGTAGTGGTAATGGTAATGGTAATAGTGATGGTGATGGGGTAGTGGTACTAAAAATGATAATGGTAATAGTAATGGTAATGGCGATGATAATGGTGATGCGGTAATGATAATGGTAATGGTGATGTGTTAATGGTAATGGTAATGGTAATGGTGATGGTAATGGTAATGGTAACGGTAATGGTAATGGTAACGGTAATGGTAATGGTAATGGTAATGATGATTTAGTATGGTAATGATAATGGTGATGGTGGTAATGGTAGTGGTAATGGTAATGATAATGGTAATAGTAATGGTGATGGTAATGGTAATAGTGATGGTGATGGTAATAGTAATGGTAATGGTAATGGTAATGGTAATAGTAATGGTAGTGGTAATGGTAATGGTAATGGTAATGGTAATGGTAATGGTGATGCGGTAATGACAATATTGATGCGGTAATGGTGATGCAGCAATGGTTATGGTAATAGTGATGGGATAATGGTGATGGTGATGGTGATGGTGATGGTGATGGGGTAATGGTAATGGTAATGTTGATGAGGTAATGGTGATGCGTTAGTGGTGATGCATTAATAATAATGGCATTAGTAATGGTAATGGTAATGGTAATGGTAATGATAATGATAATGGTAATGGTAATGGTAATGGTGATGCGATAATGGGAATGGTGCTGGGGCAATGTTAATGGTGATGGGGTTTTAGTAATGGTGATGGTATTGGTGATAGGGTAATAGTAATAGTTATGGTATTATGGTAATGGAATGGTGATGAGATAATGGTAATGGCAAAGGGGATATGTTGATGTTGATGGAGTAATGGTAATGGTGATGGGAGAATGGTAATGTTGATGTGGTAATGGTAGTGATGATGCGATAATGGTAACGGTGATGCGGCAATGGTGATGGTGATGGGGTAATGACAATGGTGATGGACTTAAGGGTGGCGCGGGCGTGTGCGGGCGAGACGGTAGACCTGATCAACCGAGTGTTGGACCCCCACTCCCTTCCCCACCGCCCTCCCCCTCTTTCCCCCCTTCTCCTCCCGCACAGGCATGGTTGAGGAGCTGCTGGAATCGCGGTTGGACGAGTGGCAGAAGGCAGACCTGATAGATGCGCGGGCGTGTGCGGGCGAGACGGTGGAGCTTATCAATCAAGTGTTGGACCTTCCAAGCTGCAGGCCCCCAGTCCCCTTCCCACTCCCCTCCCCCCATCCTTCCCCCCCCTGTCACGCAGGCATGATAGATGAGCTGCTGGAGTCGCGGTTGGAGGAGTGTCAGAAGGCAGACCTGGTTGATGCGAGGGCGTGTGCAGGCGAGACAGTAGACCTCATCAACAGGGTGCTGGACCTCGCCAAGCTGCAGGCCGGCCGGCTGCAGCTCGAGACTCTCCCCTGCTGCCTGCGGCGCATTGTTCATGAGGCAACTTTAGCCGCTTCAGCCACTTCAGCAGAAGATGAACCGATAGCACCAGGAAAGAACCAACAAGGTACGTACGAACGAGTGTTGGGTCTCGCTCACCGTTGTTGCTTTCCTTATTTGGCTGCACTCTAATTGATGTGTCCTGCTGTTGTGGCTGTGCTGTGGGTGCTGTGAGGCGGATGCTGGGTGCTGCAGTGACATGCCACGTGGACGAGAGTGTACCGGATGTTCTCATGGGGGATTCTTCTGAGGCGCCTCAATATTCCTCTTGTGATTGTGCTGTGGCTGTGTTGTGCGTGGGTCGCAGTGACATGCCACGTGGACGAGAGTGTACCGGATGTTACACAGTGAAAGAAACATACGGTATTACACATCTGATGGCACGATGAATTTTGATACATATTTATTATCTTGCTATGTATAATTAAATGAATGTATATTACTGTACAGACAGAAATGGTTGGCACCACTCGCCACCTGGCCAGGCTCGAGATTTGGCCTTTTGACAAGTCGAGCCGACAAGCCAAGCCGTCATGACAAGAAGTTGGCCGACTAGCCAAGCCGACATGAGTAGTTGGCCGTCAGTTCGTCCACCTACTCATGTCTATGATTTATCTTATCACATCTCTATATGTCATCTCTTCATGACAACCATTTTTCAACACCTGTTCCCTTGCCCCCCCTCTCCCCTGCAGCCCACGCCGTGAGCAACGCTGCTGGAGGCCGCGTGGCCTTCCATGTCTGCTGCATCCCTCCCCCGCCTTCCCCGCACGCCTCAACCAGCTGCTTGAACCTCCCCTGCGCATCTGCCCCTGCTGCCCCTTCCCGTGACCCACCACTCCCCCATACCTCCTCCCACGCCTCCCATTCCTCCCACTCCTCCCACGTCTCCTCCCACGCCTCCCACTGTTCCCACGCCTCCTCCCATGCCTCTCACCACCTCCCTCGGGGCTCCCCCGCGTGGCATCAGTTGTCTGCTTCTGTGCGCCGCTTCCCTCCTGCCACCCACCTTGTGCGGTTCCGTCAGCACCTTGTGGCCACAACCAAAGGCGCAGCCCAGGCGGAGGGAACTTCTGAGACCCCTGTATCTGTGACCCTCGCCTGCCTCACGCGCCCTCTGCAGCGCCTAGGTGCTTCAGTCAGGGGAGCTTCAGGCATGGGGGGTTCAAAGGAAGCAAGTGGGGAGGAGGGGGAGGAGGGGGAGGATGCACAGGGTGGGAGTGGGCATGGGCGGTTGGAGGAGGAGGTGAGGGAGTGGGTGGAGGGGGCGTGCGCGGCAAGAGGGGAGGGCGAGTGGATGGTGGTGATGGCGTGCGAGGACTCGGGCGGTGGTATACCACCCGAGGAGATGCGGTGGGTGCTGGACCCACACGGGGACTCCCACCACGCCGCTTCTTATGCTCCTGACGCTTCTGTTGCTCCTGCTGGCGGGGATGACGACGAGGAGGACGCACAAGGCGCAAAGGTAAGGACGCACAAGGCGCAAAGGTAAGGACGCACAAGGCGCAAAGGTAAGGACGCACAAGGCGCAAAGGTAAGGACGCACAAGGCGCAAAGGTAAGGACGCACAAGGCGCAAAGGTAAGGACGCACAAGGCGCAAAGGTAAGGACGCACAAGGCGCAAAGGTAAGGACGCACAAGGCGCAAAGGTAAGGACGCACAAGGCGCAAAGGTAAGGACGCACAAGGCGCAATGGTAAGGACGCACAAGGCGCAAAGGTAAGGACGCACAAGGCGCAAAGGTAAGGACGCACAAGGCGCAAAGGTAAGGACGCACAAGGCGCAAAGGTAAGGACGCACAAGGCGCAAAGGTAAGGACGCACAAGGCGCAAAGGTAAGGACGCACAAGGCGCAAAGGTAAGGACGCACAAGGCGCAAAGGTAAGGACGCACAAGGCGCAAAGGTAAGGACGCCCAAGGCGCAAAGGTAAGGACGCCCAAGGCGCAAAGGTAAGGACGCCCAAGGCGCAAAGGTAAGGACGCCCAAGGCGCAAAGGTAAGGACGCCCAAGGCGCAAAGGTAAGGACGCCCAAGGCGCAAAGGTAAGGACGCCCAAGGCGCAAAGGTAAGGACGCCCAAGGCGCAAAGGTAAGGACGCCCAAGGCGCAAAGGTAAGGACGCCCAAGGCGCAAAGGTAAGGACGCCCAAGGCGCAAAGGTAAGGTTGCCCAAGGCGCAAAGGTAAGGACGCCCAAGGCGCAAAGGTAAGGACGCACAAGGCGCAAAGGTAAGGACGCACAAGGCGCAAAGGTAAGGACGCACAAGGCGCAAAGGTAAGGACGCACAAGGCGCAAAGGTAAGGACGCACAAGGCGCAAAGGTATGGACGCACAAGGCGCAAAGGTAAGGACGCACAAGGCGCAAAGGTAGGGACGCACAAGGCGCAAAGGTAGGGACGCACAAGGCGCAAAGGTAGGGACGCACAAGGCGCAAAGGTAGGGACGCACAAGGCGCAAAGGTAGGGACGCACAAGGCGCAAAGGTAGGGACGCCCAAGGCGCAAAGGTAGGGACGCCCAAGGCGCAAAGGTAAGGACGCCCAAGGCGCAAAGGTAAGGACGCCCAAGGCGCAAAGGTAAGGACGCCCAAGGCGCAAAGGTAAGGACGCCCAAGGCGCAAAGGTAAGGACGCCCAAGGCGCAAAGGTAAGGACGCCCAAGGCGCAAAGGTAAGGACGCACAAGGCGCAAAGGTAAGGACGCACAAGGCGCAAAGGTAAGGACGCACAAGGCGCAAAGGTAAGGACGCACAAGGCGCAAAGGTAAGGACGCACAAGGCGCAAAGGTAAGGACGCACAAGGCGCAAAGGTAAGGACGCACAAGGCGCAAAGGTAAGGACGCACAAGGCGCAAAGGTAAGGACGCACAAGGCGCAAAGGTAAGGACGCACAAGGCGCAAAGGTAAGGACGCACAAGGCGCAAAGGTAAGGACGCACAAGGCGCAAAGGTAAGGACGCACAAGGCGCAAAGGTAAGGACGCACAAGGCGCAAAGGTAAGGACGCACAAGGCGCAAAGGTAAGGACGCACAAGGCGCAAAGGTAAGGACGCACAAGGCGCAAAGGTAAGGACGCACAAGGCGCAAAGGTAAGGACGCACAAGGCGCAAAGGTAAGGACGCACAAGGCGCAAAGGTAAGGACGCACAAGGCGCAAAGGTAGGGGGGCTATAGGCACACTGACCCGCTGCTTTAACAAGCCCTTGTAGCTATGAGCTATGAGCTACTTAGTAAGTCCTTGTATATCAGTGCTCTAGTGGCTGGGATTCTGACAGAGTCGATTCAAAAGTCAACGAAAGGTTGAGTTGGGGTTCAAAACATGATTGCCAAATTTACTCTTGCAATGAAGTATTTTGGGGCTCAGGACCTAGAATTTCGGTTGTCCATCGTTTGCTGAGACTTTGTCTAAACTGCAGCTCACCTAAGATACCTGGCTGAGGACTCAAAAGTAGGCCTTTCTCCCCACCCCCTTGTGGCGGAGACGAGGGGAGATATGGCAGTCTTGAGTTTTGAGACGTCTCTCAGCTTGTCACTCCACCTCGTCCCTCCTTCTCACCTTCCCACTCCTCCTTCTCGCCCGAGCAGGTGGCTGAGATGCGGGGAGACATGGCAGTGCTGTCACACACCACCATTCTGCTGGCGCTGCCCATGGGGGCAGAGGAGGATAACGATAGTGACTGTGACAGCGGGGGGGATGGAGAGTGGGATGAGGAGGGTGGAGGGGAAGGGATGAATGCGGTTATGGGAATGACGGGGAGTGTGTGGAATTTGTGAGTGTTGCAATACCAGAGGTGCAGGAACAAGCAACCCCGCACCAGCAACAGCATGAATCCGAGAAGCAGCAGGCACCATTGCAGGAGAAGCAGCAGCGGTCAGCACGAGCCCACTCTCACCTCAAGCCGCGGGCCGGTATATTCACCAGGACTGAAGCGCTGGAGGGTGCAGGGAAGGCGGAGGGGGTATCGCCAGCAGTGGCAGTGGTGGCGGCGGGGGCGGCTGAGGAGGAGGAAAAGTTAGTGGCAGCGGTGGGGGAAAAGTCAGTGGCAGCAGTGGGAAAGGCGGGGCGGCGGGCAGCACGGTCACATTCTCTCCCAAAACCCCTCTCCCACACGGACGCCATGGGAGACACGGATGGGGGGCAGGTTCGAGCAGTGGGGGTATCAGGGCGGCAAACAACACGGGCGCAATCTCTCCCCAGGCTGCGCCCGCACACGGAGGGTGCAGCAGGGTGGGAGCAGGGGGGGGGAGTAGAGGAGGCGGAGGTGTTTGTGCGAGCAGTACTGGCGGGGCAGTCGGTGGCGGTGGTGGATGACAACGCGGTGAACCGCATGGTGGCAAGGAGAACGCTGCAGGGCTACGGGGCGCACGTGCTGCTGCTGCCCTCCGGGGAGGACGCGCTGCAGGCGCTCTCCTCTGCCGTGCCCTCTGCCCCGCCCTCCTCCCCGCCCATCCACTTGTTGTTGCTTGACCTCCACATGCCGCCTGGCATTGACGGGTGAGTTGGAATTCCGTTGCTGTGAGCATGGCACTGCTGCTGTTACCAGAGGTGCTGTGAGCACGGCACCTTTGTTTTGAGCAGGTCCTCTAAGCTGCTGCTGGTGCTGCTGCTTGGGCTCCAGTCCTTCTCCAATCCCTCATCCTGCCTTGTTGCCATCCGTTTCTTGCCACGCATCGCGTCCCGATTCCCAACAGATTTGAAACAGCTCGTCAGATCCGGGCTTTGGAGAAATCAAAGCGCAGCGGCAGCAACACAACACAGCAGATGCCAGAGGGGGACAATACTGCTGACGATGCAGCAGCAGCACCAACACCACCAGTAGCAGCAGCACATGCAGTTGATGCAGCCACAGAAGCAAGTGCAGTACAGGAGCGCCTTTGCATTATAGCATTGACAGCTGACCTGGATGTGGGAGTGAAGCGAGCGTGCTTGGAGGCCGGCATGGATGGGGCAGTGAGGAAACCCATCGTTGCACAGGAACTTCTTTCAGCGCTCATAACAGAAGGTTTTGGGGCCGGCGCATTCTAATTCGACTCGGTCGTCACCACACGAGTGCTTTTCTATCATGGCACTGACAGCTGACTTGGATACAAGGAAGCGAGCGTTCTTGGGGGGCGGCAGTAGGGAAACCGATTGTGGCACAGGAGCTCCTTGCAGCGCTTATAGCAGCAGTGTTCGGAGCAGACGCCTCGTGAGTGGATGCAGAGAGGGAAGGTTAGAAAGCTGGAGCAGTGAGGAAACTGATTGTGGCACAGGACCTGCTTGTTATCACTCATAGCAGCAGGGTTTGGAGCTGGCGCGTTCTGATTTGACTCAACGTCACCACCATACGGGTGACTTTGTATAACAGAACTGATGCTGACTTGGGTGTAGGTGTCAATGTCAAGCAAGCGTGCTTGGAGGCAGGGAAAATTGGCGCAGTAAGGAAGCTGATTGTGGCACGGGAACTTGTTACAATGCTGAAAATCGCAAGTTTCAGAGCAGGTGCGGTCTAACACATGAGTGCCTTTGTATCATGACTTCAGGCGTGGACGTGGGAGCGTGCTTGTAGACAAAGAGGGATGGGGCATCGAGGAAGCTGATTGTGGCGTGGGAACTTGTTACAGTGCTGACGACAACCACGAGGTTCAGAGCAAACCCTAAATTGATTTTGGACTGACATGATTCATAATACTTCCCTGGTTTTTATGGTCTTACCGATATAACAAAGTTGCCAGCAAAAACCAGGCTGGACGACCAGTCATATGTTTCTTGTATGAACAAACAAAAAGTTTTGGCTTTACATACGATAATCATACAAAAAAAAATAAAAAATGGTTCTGTGAATCCATGCGCACTGCGCAGGTGTATGTGGAGAATAATGACATGCAAGTCTACCTGTATGATAGCTAATGCCTAAACCGGTATGTATTGGTGGAGACCATAGGTGCTGTTTGCCATACTGTAAAATGTTGTCACCTACACAGGCATTTGACTGTTTGAATACATCACAATACTATTTGAATGCTTTAGTGGTGCAAGGGGTCCGCCTGTACCGAACAAAGGGTGCCCACACGAGTGTATCGGCTCGGAAAATCGGAAGATGCATTGCGGTCCACACGTCCCACCACGTCGTTCAAACCGACATCGCGGTGCGGTGCGCGTGTCCCTAACCAAGCCGAACAAGCATCCATCCATGCCTGCCCTTCCCCCCACATCTTTCCACCCTGGCAAGATCTTCCCTGGCACCAAACCAATTTAGCCCATGCGAACCCATGCGAACCAAACCAAACCAAGTCCTTTCCCAACCACCTCCACCCGCGTCGCGAGAGTTCCCTTTGGTTCATTCTGTAAGGGTGCCGCTGCTTCACCACTTCGACCTTCGATTTACCAGTCGCTCTCAACCCTACATTCTATGCATGGGCTAGCTTACATTACTCACACCACTAGTTCCCCGCTCATGCTCTCATTCTCAATCTATTCAGTTTCACTGTTCACTCTTCTTCCTAAATCCAAGCTACAGACGTGTAATGCGCCGGTCGTGGCGCCTCTCGTCACGGGGCCCGCCGTGGGGCGCGGGGAGGGTGCTGCTGGGAGCGGTGTGGGTGGCGGGATGGGCGGGGCTGTGCGCGTGGGTGGTGTGGTTCGCGCACACGCAGGCCGCCAATCCGCGGGAGGAGGCGATGCGCGGGTGGTGCCACTTGCGCGTGCTCTACCTCTACCAGCGCCTGCTCTCGTTCGTCTCGCGCGTGCAGGTGCGACGCGTAGCAATAGCGACGCATAGCGACCCATAGCGACGCATAGCGACACATAGCGACGGATAGCGACGCGTAACGACCCATATCAACGGATAGCGCGGGAGGTCCCGTATAGCGATTATACGTTCGTGTGGCGAGCTCGGCCTCGTGTGGCGAGCTCGCCCTCGTGGCAGGTAGGCCTTGACTATCAGAAATTATCCGCGCGCTTGACACGGGGACACGACTGTTAGGCCTTGAATTTCTGAAATTATTCGCGCGCTTGACACGGGGACACGACTGTTAGGCCTTGACTTTCAGAAATTATCGGCGCTTGACACGGGCTAAATCTTTTTCTTGAGAATTCTCAAAAGACAGGCGAGCTCGGCCTAGTGGCAGGTAGGCGTTGATTTTCAGAAATTATCCGCGCGCTTGGCTCGGGGGACACGGGGACACGGATAATCTCCGCGCGCACACTGTCAACGACATTCCGTCTAGCGTCCCGGAGCTCTTGCCGTCGCGCAGCGGCGACTTTTGAGTCGACCTAAAAATTCACCTCGGAGCTCTTTCCGTCGCGCAGCGGCGACCTTTGAGTCGACCTAAAATTCCACCTCCGAGCTCTCTCCGTCGCGCAGCGGCGCGCTCCCGCCGCCCCGCGCGCTGATGGCGGCCCCCGGGGTGCGGAACCCAGAGGGGCGGCGCGGAGGGGAGACGGCCTTTCTGAACTCGTTGCGCGTGTGCATGTGTGCGTGTGTGCCCACGTGTGTGCATGTGCGTGCGTGAGCATGTGTACGTGTGCGTGTGTGCGAGTGCGTGTGCGCGTGTGTATGTGCGCGTGCGCATGTGCGCGTGCGTGTGCATGTGCATGTGCGTGTGCATGTGCGTGTGCATGTGCGTGTGCATGTGCGTGTGCATGTGCGCGTGAGTATGTGTGCGTGCGTGTGTGCGCTGCGTATGTGCGCGTGTGTATGTGCGTGTGTGTGCGCACATGTGTTTATGTGCGTGTGCATGAGCAGCAAATGTCAGCGCTGCTGTGCGTGCTGAACGGGTACGACCCGCGCAGCCCCACCAGCATTGCTCAACTCCTGAGGCGCCTCAAAAGTGGCGGGGTGTGCAAGCCAGCATTGCTCAACTCCGTTGCTCATGTGTGTGTATCTCTGTATGTGTGTGTATCTCTGTATGTGTGTGTGAGCAGCAAATGGCAGCACTCCTGCGTGTGTTCAACGGGTACGGCCCGCGCAGCAGCACCAACCTGACCTACTGGGGCGTGGCGGGATGTGCCAATAACGAGAGCCTGATTCGATACAAGGATAAAACCGTCAGCATGGGCTTGGACTACCTCACCCTAGGGTCATTGCTCATGCTCGTGCAGGATAGCGAAAGGTGGGTGTGAGTGTGTGTGTGCGCGAGTGCATGCATGTGTGTATGTGTGGGCGTGGGTGTGGGTGTGGGCGTGGGTGTGGGCGTGGGTGTGGGCGTGGGTGTGGACGTGGGCTTGGGTGTGGGCGTGGGCGTGGGTGTGGGTGTGCGTTCCTGTGTGTGTGTTTGTGTGTGTGTGTGTGTGTGTGTGTGTGTGTGTATGTGTGTGTGTGTGTGAGTGTGAGAGAGAGCGCGCGCGCGCGTGTGTGTTCCCCTATCTCTCTTTCTACCTCCAGTTGCTTTCTCATCCCCCTATACTCTTTGTTTACAGGCCATTGGTGGAGCGCATAACAGGCATGGTCATCAAGTCACCTCTCGGGCTGCCTTCCCCTCGCAAGCCGCACTACATCATCAACTTTCTCCCCGGATACGCCAACGTCGCCAATCTCGAGGCTTTCATTGATTTCTCCGCCATGGTGTCCCCGGCACTCCTCTCCTCCATTCTCGATGGCAACTCTGTCTCGTTGCCGCCTGTCTTTTTCAGCAGTTACCTGCGTGTGGGCACTGGTGAGACGAGTTTCTTTCTCTTGTGCCTGATAGGCTGCTTCTTTCTAGGTGCCTAAAAGAGCAACTCTGTCTCGTTGCCGCCTGTCTTTTTCAACGGCGATCTGCGTGTGGGCACTGGTGAGCTAAGCTTTCTCTTATACCCCTCATCAACTAAATTCTTGATGTGGCGCTTCATAAATTGTCCTTTTCGACACCAACCTGCGTGTGGGCACTGGTGAGCTGACCCGTTTTTGAGACGTTTCAAAAGAGCTCCCAAGCTGATTAAGTGCCTGTTGTTTTGGGTGCGTGGGTGGGTGAACATTGGTGAGTAAGTGGTGTCATGCCACATCATCCGTATTCTCGCTCGAATTGTTGCACTTGCTTTGACCGCACGCTACCTAATCAAATTGGTCTTATGGTCGACGTGAAACGATCTGCAGTTGGGTGTTTTGCTCATCTCTAAACCCGCATCGGTCTTCTGATATGATTCTCAGCAAGAACAGGCAAGGTCTAGGCTTAAAACAAATGATAAACGGTTCGGTGTTTTTCTCATCCATAAGTGCATCATGGTCCATTCATCCATCCATCCATCCATCCATCCATCCATCCATCCATCCATCCATCCATCCATCCATCCATCCATCCATCCATCCATCCATCCATCCATCCATCCATCCATCCATCCATCCATCCATCCATCCATCCATCCATCCATCCATCCATCCATCCATCCATCCATCCATCCATCCATCCATCCATCCATCCATCCATCCATCCATCCATCCATCCATCCATCCATCCATCCATCCATCCATCCATCCATCCATCCATCCATCCATCCATCCATCCATCCATCCATCCATCTATCCATCTATGCAGTGATTGTGGTGCCTATATTCCGCTCCGCCATCCCCTCCCCGAGAACGCATCACGACAGCATGGCCCTGACCATGACCCACCCATCCCGTCCCCTCAAAAGTCACTTTTGAGTCGACTGAGAACGCATCATGGCAGACTTTTGAGTCGACTCAAAAGTCATCCCGTCCCCTCAAAAGTCACTTTTGAGTCGACTGAGAACGCATCACGGGAGCATGGCCCTGACCATGACCCACCCATCCGCCCAAGACCCATCCACCCACCCATGTCACCCCATCCGCCCATGACCCACCCATCCGCCCATGACCCACCCATCCGCCCATGACCCACCCATCCGCCCATGACCCACCCATCCGCCCATGACCCACCCATCCGCCCATGACCCACCCATCCGCCCATGACCCATCCATCCATCCGCCCATGTCACCCCATCCGCCCATGACCCACCCATCCACCCATGACCCACCCATCCGCTCCGCCCATGACCCACCCATCCGCCCATGACCCACCCATCCGCCCATGACCCACCTAGACATGAGCAACGCACGAATCCGAACACGTTTGAGTCGAACCTTTCCGAACACATTGAAATTTCGAACCGAACACGTTCGGTTCGTTCGAACACTTTTCCAGGAAAGTAGTGTTCGAGTGTTCTCAGTCAGAGGCGAACACTTAGATGTTCGAGGGAACATCTAAGTGTTCGTGACGAACTCGAACGCGTTCGAGTTCGCCCATAAACTTCCCACCAAGGCGGAATGTATGTTCGGAGGCGGGGATGTTGTGGAAGAGCGCCCCGGGCCCAGGCACCTCTCGGGGATTGCCCACCAGGGCGTCGCCACCAACGCCCAACCCTGACGGCCCTGGCTGTCCGTCGTTTCCCCATCCTGAACCGGTACCATTAGTCCCTTCCATACCCTTTAGATCTCGTTTCTAAACAAGGTTATTCTCTGGAAATGGCGGTGGGTTAACGTACGTGGGCGACTGCCTTGTGATCACAGGCAAAAGTCTCACCGGACCACCAATAACGGCACCCAGTGTTTACACTATTATAGATCTGGAAATTACTGGCATTTCATGGCAGAAATGCCTAAGAACCTGCAATGTACTCGATTTTGGCAGATGTTTGCGTTTGCCAGGTGCCTAAGCCATGTCTTAACTAAAGGCAAGTGATTGAACTCGAAATGTGCTCAATCTCAGATCTACGCAACCCTAAATTTGAAACCAGCGCGGCCAATGTCGCGCTGGTTTTAATCGCGAACACTTTGATGTTCGCGAAAGTGAAATTCGAACTCGAACCTGTTCGAGTTCGAGGCGGCGCGGTAAAAATAGGCCTGCGAACTCGAACATGTTCGAGTCGAACTCGAACATGTTCGTTCGAACATTTTTGGCCAAAAAAAAAGGCCTGTTCGGTTCGACTCGAACACGTTCGAGTAACCGAACAGGTGTTCGAAAATTTGCTCATGTCTAGACCCACCCATCCGCCCATGACCCACCCATCCGCCCATGACCCACCCATCCGACCATGTCACCCCATCCATCCATGCATGCAGTGATGGTGGTGCCAATATTCCGCCGTCTCGTCCCCGAGAACGCATCACGGGAGCAGCGGAGGGCGAGTGTGAGCCCCACCGCGTGGGTCGACCTCAACTATATGGGCAACGAGCTACAAGACGTCCTTCACCTGCTTCACAACGGTCCGATTCCTTCCCCATAACAACCCTCACTCTGTTCCATGCAAGTGACACAAACAGTCCTTGGTTTTGCAGAGAGAGTGTGATTCCCAACGCGTGGTCCGATCTCAGCTATATGGGCAACAAGCTACAAGATGTCCTTCACCTGCTGCAAAACGGTCCGATCGCTTCCCTTCCCAACACTACCGTCGTTTTGTGTGAATACTCAAAAGTGACACAATCAGACCTCAGCTACATGGGCAACGAGCTGGAAGACGTCCTTCACCTGCTTCACAACGGTGTGTGCTGGGCCTATTTTTGAGACGACTCCAAAATGAGCTACAAGACGTCCTTCACCTGTTGCATAACGGTTCGATTGCTTCTCTTTCCCAACGCTGCTGCCCTCGTTTGTGTCACCTGTGAGATTTCTCCTAAGTGACACAAACAGACCTCAGCTCCCTGGGCAACGAGCTAAAAGGCGTCCTCACTCTGCTTCAAAACGGTTCGCACTCACTTTCCCATAACGGCCCTCACTCTACTGCATGCAAGTGACACAAACAGACCTCACCTCAGCTATTTGGAGCGCCAGCTACAAGCCATCCTCCATCCACCTGCTTCAAAACGGTTCGCACTCACTTTCCCATAACGGCCCTCACTCTACTGCATGCAAGTGACACAAACAAACCTCACCTCAGCTATCTGGAGCGCCAGCTACAAGCCATCCTCCATCCACCTGCTTCAAAACGGTTCGCACTCACTTTCCCATAACGGCCCTCACTCTACTGCATGCAAGTGACACAAACAGACCTCACCTCAGCTATCTGGAGCGCCAGCTACAAGCCATCATCCATCCACCTGCTTCAAAACGGTTCGCACTCACTTTCTTATAACGGCCCTCACTCTACTGCATGCAAGTGACACAAACAGACCTCACCTCAGCTATCTGGAGCGCCAGCTACAAGCCATCCTCCATCCACCTGCTTCAAAACGGTTCGCACTCACTTCCCCATAACGGCCCTCACTCTACTGCATGCAAGTGACACAAACAGACCTCACCTCAGCTATCTGGAGCGCCAGCTACAAGCCATCCTCCATCCACCTGCTTCAAAACGGTTCGCACTCACTTCCCCATAACGGCCCTCACTCTACTGCATGCAAGTGACACAAACAGACCTCACCTCAGCTATCTGGAGCGCCAGCTACAAGCCATCCTCCATCCACCTGCTTCAAAACGGTTCGCACTCACTTTCCCATAACGGCCCTCACTCTACTGCATGCAAGTGACACAAACAGACCTCACCTCAGCTATCTGGAGCGCCAGCTACAAGCCATCCTCCATCCACCTGCTTCAAAACGGTTCGCACTCACTTCCCCATAACGGCCCTCACTCTACTGCATGCAAGTGACACAAACAGACCTCACCTCAGCTATCTGGAGCGCCAGCTACAAGCCATCCTCCATCCACCTGCTTCAAAACGGTTCGCACTCACTTTCCCATAACGGCCCTCACTCTACTGCATGCAAGTGACACAAACAGACCTCACCTCAGCTATCTGGAGCGCCAGCTACAAGCCATCCTCCATCCACCTGCTTCAAAACGGTTCGCACTCACTTTCCCATAACAGTCTTCGCAATTATTTTTGAGCCCATATGTTGCCTGGAGCCCATATGTTGCCTGGAGCCCATATGTTGCCTGGAGCCCATATGTTGCCTGGAGCCCATATGTTGCCTGGAGCCCATATGTTGCCTGGAGCCCATATGTTGCCTGGAGCCCATATGTTGCCTGGAGCCCATATGTTGCCTGGAGCCCATATGTTGCCTGGAGCCCATATGTTGCCTGGAGCCCATATGTTGCCTGGAGCCCATATGTTGCCTGGAGCCCATATGTTGCCTGGAGCCCATTTCTGAGGTTCCTGAAAGCCTGTGTCCCCC